AAAATATAAAATGCGCTCTGCAAGAATTGTTTACATAGGCTACAATAGTCATGGAAAGGTATTTTGTTTTGCTTGACCTCAAGAGGTGTCAGCACTGCAAGGCTGTACATTGATCTGACCTGAAAAGCTTGCCAGTCTACAGATTCTTATTTACACTACCATGTACTGTAGGTGCAACACAAACTTAAGTATGGCAATTCTCTACAGACCACATCATATCATGTCAGGCTTGAGGAGGTAGAGATGTGGCTGCCAATGCTTCAATGTGCATTCCCAGTTCTGCATTGGCAAAGGAAAGCAGGTTTTGGCTGATGAATGGTAAGGCCCAAGCCTTGCGCATACTATTCATTTCATCAAATATATTTGCATTGACATTAACACAGTTGTCTGCACTGCAATTCACTTTTGTGACAGAAATATTTTTCATAAGACTCTTATCTTGTATCCATAGTGAACCAGTTCATAGTAAGAATCCTGAATGCGTGAAACGTAATCCAATGTGGCTTCCATCTCACGTTACTCTGTTTCCAAGCTGGAAGTATCTGCTTCTTTGAAAAATGTATCCTTGTGTATGATTTGAACAGCCCAGTGGATTTGAACAGCCTGGTGGATGGTGCTCGTGAACACACACACAGTGCTCCTTTTTCATTGATTGGCATGTGTTCACTGTTGCAGCTGTACATTGTAGCATTCACTATTGCCTTTGTGATATATAACCTACATGGCTTCAAATTATTTTATGGCTGGGACCGGTTCAGTATGTGTGAGAAGAAAACCAAGTCAGCACACTCCTGAAACATCTGAACAGTGTTGGGTGGGTATAGATATCAAAGCTTACTTCTTCAACATCAAAATGAGTGTTTGTCTGTTCCTACAAAACCAAGAGTCACTTGATTATGACCACTTTCCCCCAGCCTTGAATTTTCTAAGTGTTTGATAGAGGGGAATCAGACAGGTTTTAATTTTAATTTTTCATCTCAAGGAGTACAGTGGTACCTCAGGTTACAGACACTTCAGGTTACAGACGCTTCAGGTTACAGACTCCACTATAGTACCTCGGGTTAAGAACTTTGCTTCAGGATGAGAACAGAAATCGGGCACTGGCAGCGGGAGGCCCCATTAGCTAAAGTGGTGCTTCAGGTTAAGAACAGTTTCAGGTTAAGAACAGACCTCCAGAACGAATTAAGTTCTTAACCCGAGCTACCACTGTACTTGAGATGTCCTGTTTATGACTGGAAAGCAATGAACAATCTTGATAACAGATTCAAGACACTGTAATCCCCCTCCCCTTCCATCACCCCCTATAGCAGGAGGCAGTTACCGTATTTGAGAAAATTTTGGTAGATTTCTTCAACCAGTCAATAAATCTAGTTTCTCTTGACTTTCTAAATGGAACTTTCTGAACCATCTGAGCCAAGTTTTCAAGCTTTTATTTCAAAGTAAGCATTCCCCGCACCGTCTCATCCACCACCCCTGCTGGAATAGATATGAAAGTCAATATAGACAGACTATTGCAAAAAATAGCACCATCTGGTGGTGTTTTGATTCTATACAGCAAAATGTCTTTGATTTGATTCAGGCAATTGAATTGTTCACAGAATATTAGTGCTTCATTGCACATTGATACACATTTATTTTTCAACTGCACTCATAGCCTCAGGAGCAGGATTTTGTTAAATACACCTTTTTCCAGTTGGGCAAATAAAAATTCATACTATACAAAAATAGGACTCATGTCAAGTCCTGAAAATAACTGCAGCAACCAGGCTGTGCAACTGTTGCCCAACAAGAAAGCAAGAGAAAAGGGAGGAAACCACAAATGAACTAGATGCTGGGAAATTCACCTGGGCACATGCTTCATCATTTTGTACATAGCAAATGACAAAAGTATCATGCCCGGAAAGTAATCAAGGGCACAAACAGGCAGACCAAATGCAGCCACCACAATGGAGGATCCTAAAGTTGTTGCGAGATTTCAGTCCATTCAGTTTTCCATATGTATTTATGAACTGCAGTGGTGCAATTTAATCAATACTGTTTAATCAATACTGATTAAAATCTATGCCAGTTTCTGGGATTCCCAGTAGCCAGAGACATGTGACTTTTCATCTGGATTTATAGATACTTGGCAAAGATAACAACGCAGCAAGGCTGTAAGGTGAAAGTGAGCTTTAATTTGCTAATCCGTTCACTTTATACATCAATCATTACAGCTGATGGTGGTTCTCTTTCTTGTTGATTTGTGGTGCTCTTGCTTGACAGAAATGTTTTAAACCAGGGGTGGGGGAACCTATGGCCAATGGGTCAGTCCTGGCCCCTTGCTGAATTTCACCTGGTGAACTTTGAAGGTATGGATCAAGATGGTAGGGAACCTCCTCAATATGTCCTTTCATCTTTGAAGGTGTGGATTGAACCAGCCTTTGAAACTACAGACAGTACACCACATCTGCACATTCAAATCTCTCCCTTCTTAAAACTGCCCAGTGCTGGGTAGTCTTCTGTTTGTGGAGGGACGGCTTGAAACCACTCCGACTGTCAGCTTGCTGAATTTCAAACATCCCCACAAGCAGGAGAGATGTGGATTTTTTTTTTGCTTTTTACTTGCAGGTGACTTTCAATTGATCCCCACCACCACCACCTTGTGAGCCATGAGGAAGTCTGCCATTTTCCAGAGGTGGACCCAGAACACATGTTCACAGTATGGTGAAGAAGGCACAAATAAAGGAAAAATTCAGGGCTAAATGAGATGCTTGGTGCATGATAATGTGAAACCGTCTTGGTTGGTCAAGAGGTGTAGGGATTTATCCTCACTTCTTTTTCACAGTTAGTTGTTCCTCTTCAACTAGTATGCATTTCAATAACACCTCTGATAACATTATGAATCATACTGCTCCTAAGCAGTAAGAAGGGTGATTTATATTCCTCTCTCTATCCTCTACTTCTTTCCTTTTTAAAGGAAATGGGGGGGGGGCTGAACAGGAACCAGCCTGCAACTAAGCATAGTGAGACCCAAAAATGGTCTAGTAAAACCAACATATTGTGATTATTGATGAAAAAGAAGCATTCGTTTATGGCAGAAGAGTGCTAAATAAATTAAAATAGTGAAAACAGCAACAACAAGAAAATATATGGGTAGAAACAAGCAGAACTTAAAAGGAACTCATACTTAGCTTCTGAATGTATGCTCAATAATAGCATCTCCTCCTCTTCACTTTGATACATAGTGGACAGGTTACATAAGTACTGCACAGTATCATTTTTCTGGGGATAATATCTGTCTGCTAGTGAATGCCAGCAGTGCTTAGACTCTGCACATAGGTCAAGTCTTCTCCCAAAGCTGCAAACTAGGCTCTTCTTAACTTGGGAATGTGAGAGTTGGAAATAAACTCACTCTGTCAGCGAGGCAGGGGGGGACATTCTGACTCAGAGCCAACCTGACCAACCCAGAACAAACTTTTCACTGGGTAATCCTGGAGATAAACCAGATAATACAAAATATGGGTCCAGTCAAGAAATAACTTGTCATGCTTTAAGTTCCATTGAAACAGCATGCAAACCCAATTAACTTTTCCTGGATTGAAGCAAGAGGGTTGGGAAAGGAAAATATCAAGGGCACTGAAGTCACTAAACTAATTTTTCTACAGCACATAACAGACGGGTGGTAGTTTGAAAGACAGAGCATAAATTATATTGTTGCAGTTCTGATATTGTAGCATTGGACCATACTAGCATGTGCAGTATGAATGAATTCTAGAGCAAAAGAAAATGGTTAGATTTTGCAACATCCAGAGGCTGATTGGCATAAATTTCAATTCATAGCACCTACTCTTAATGACATCTGATACAGCAAGAGGCAACAAGTATGCAGCTCCAGGCAATGTGTCCCTGCAGTCATTTTTTAAAAAAAACAACCTGGAAATTATCTTTGCCCTGATTTCAGGACCTTCCATGCCACCTGGCTACATATTTCCTTCTTTTGAGGACTCTCACATTTGTCCCTTGACTAATACCTGAACAAGTGTGCTTTAGGTCAGTAAGAAAGTAAAAGCAAATCTGGGGGCGGGGGGAAATGTCAGCTTGTTGCAGCATAAACAAAAAGTCTTCTTGCATCTTAAAGACTACTACTACTACTTGTTTAGTTGTTTAGTCATGTCTGACTCTTCGTGACCCCATGGACCAGAGCACACCAGGCACTCCTGTCTTCCACTGCCTCCCCCAGTTTGGTCAAACTCATGCTGGTAGCTTCGAGAACACCGTCCAACCATCTCGCCCTCTGTCATCCCCTTCTCCTTGTGCCCTCCATCTTTCCCAACATCAAGGTCTTTTCCAGGGAGTCTTCTCTTCTCATGAGGAGGTCAAAGTATTGGAGCCTCAGCTACTACTACTACTACTACTACTACTACTACTACTACTATTACCATGCCTTTTCCCCAGTCCAGGGTTCATGGTGCCTTACACAAATAAACTAGAACAAGCTAAAAATACAGAAATGTTTATTATTAAAATGTAATTAGACACCATAAAATTCAAATAATATTAGAAGACCCATTAAAAACCACAGACAATAACAGTTCTCAAAGGCCTGTTGGAATAGAAAGGTCTTCAGCTGCTGGTGGAAGAACAGAAAGAGGAGGGAGCCAGTTAAACTTCTCTAGGAAAGAAGTTACAAAGTGTGGGAGCAGCCACCACCAAGAAGGCCCTCTCTGGAGTCCCCACCAAGCATGCCTCTGAGGGAGGCAGGACCTAGAGAAGATCTCAGAGCCCAGGCAGGTTCACATGAGGGAATTGTTTATTATGAAGAGCTGATGAAGTAGACTGTATAGACTGTAGGCAACAAAGCTTATGCTGCAATAAATGTGTTTGGATTGCTGGCATAAGGCAGAATAGCCCTATGATGTCTTTTGTTTTTAAAGGTGCTGACAATTGCAACAATTTCAGACAAAACCCAGGGCTGATATATAATTACTTTATTATGGCTAAGGGACAAATAGGGAGAATGATCAAAGTAACTAAACGTATTTATTAATGATAGAAAACTATTAAAATGTTTCTCTTTATTTTTATATCATATGAAAAGTTAACTTACAAAAGATCATAAAAACATATTATGACTTTTGATAACAGCTAATGCAACAGTCCAAATTACAGTGCCATAAAGAATTCAAACTGAGAACCAGTCATTTGATCCCCATGTAACCAAGTTCTCAGAGTTTCCCAAAAGCAAGCCTAAATATTGAGAGCGCTTTTGATTCTCTGTTGAACTTCTCCAGAGATGGAGAGAGGGCTTCACAAGAAAGTTGGACAGATACACATTTGGAAAATTAATGTGAAGCTGAGATAAGTAAATGTCAAGGTAGTAACAGCTGGCTTGAAATATCTAATGTAAATGTTTCAAAGTGAATAACTTTCACCCATTTTGTACATATCCTTATTCAATCTTACTAGCAACCATTTAGCTGCAGGTATAAAATGGTTTCACTACACAGTAATTGCTTTAATAATGCTTTCTGCATAACAGTCAGATTGCTGTCCTCCCATCCTGTAACAGGCAAAAGTTTCAAACATAAACTTGTCTGGTTGCCACTAGCTATACAAATTGCTTATATGAGCAACTACAAAGTGCACATTTTTCAAGTACATAAACACCATGTCATTTATCTATCTGTCCTAGAGAGGGCAGTAGCCCACACAAATAATAAAGTTTTATGTAAAAGCAGGATATACAATGTGCAATTACAAAAAAAAATGTCAAGATACTAAAGTAAAGCTTTTATTTAAAATGAAAACTATATTTGTAATAACTGTAAATTTTAAACAATGACAAATATAAAAATTTATTCTTTAACCATTTATGTGACTTGTTGGCTTAAATTTACATAAACTTTATATCCCTTTTGTATATTATTCTAAAAAGCTTTTATGAAATAAAAATCAAACATTGGAATCTAGACAACCTATAAGTTTAATAATTTTCTTTAAAATGTCTCTATATTTCAAAATATTATAATAGGTTTTTAGTACATTATAGTTAATACACAAAAACTATCAAAAAGTTAACCAAAGTCAAAGTGGGAGACATGAAGAGAGCAAACAAACAAACAAACAAACATTACTAACCAGTGTTTATCTTATCTTTAAGAATGAGTTTTTATTTTATGCATGTGATAATTGCAGATATCCTGAGGATGTAAATCTGTTACCAGTTATCTCATAATTGCCTTTTATCACAGGCAATCACCTAACAATGGGAACCCAGCTGGAAGAGGTGACAAAGTGATTACTACTTTGGCTATCATTTACTAGAATTTTGCAGAGGCTGTCTCAGTTCTTCTCAAAGGTGATGGCATGTGATAAAGACTATGACACTGTACTGGTACAACTGCTGCCTTTACCATATCTCTCAAACTGGATTCCCAGCATAAAGAGGAATGGTTCTAATTTGTACTTATAGAATGTTCTGCATGAACATATATAATTGTTTAGCAGGAGAAAGAGAAACCTCTAGGGAGGCATATAAAGCTTGATTACAGGAATCCCATCATGCACCTTTCGGTCAGAGGTTAGGCTGAGGAGCTTCTTGAAGGGCCTACTACCATTTCCTGTCAGCAAATTTCACATTGATGGAGTTTGCAGGAGTCAATAGTCCATGGGTTTTGGCATAAGCTGGTTTAGTTTTTGGAGAAATTTTTATTTCAAAATTTTGAAGCAGCTTGAAGGAGAAAAAAACAGAATACTAGAATTAATAAAAATTGGATATGAGAAAGGCAACAAGAATGTTGATAGTCGCCTACATTGTGGCAGAATCCAGAATACAGTGGTACCTTGGGTTACAGACACTTCAGTTTACAGACGCTTCAGGTTACAGACTCCACTAACTCAGAAATAGTACCTCAGGTTAAGAACTTTGCTTCAAGATGAGAACAGAAACCGTGCAGTAGTGGCGCGGCAGCAGCGGGAGGCCCCATTAGCTAAAGTGGTACCTCAGGTTAAGAACAGTTTCAGGTTAAGAACAGACCTCCAGAACGAATTAAGTTCTTAACCCGACATACCACTGTAGAGGAAAGAGCCTTGTTGATTCCCAACAGTGGCTAGAGAAGTGCTTTTGTGAAGCAGCCATCTCAAACTGTTCATCCCCTAGCAACTGGCATTCATTGCCCTTTAACCCTCACTTCCATTTACCTGTTATGGCTAACAGCTGTTCTCTGTGAATACTTATTTTGTAAAAAGCTCTCTCATCCAATGGTCATCATCACCACATCTTGTAGCAGTAAGTTTTGCAATTTAATTATGAGTTGTGTAAGTACGCTCTCTCCTTTGAAACTACTGCTAATCAGTTTGATTGGCAACTCGAATTCTCAAACTACGTACCAGGACGGTGAGCCATTGATCCAGGTAGAATATCCTAGGGCACTACAGAGACCCCACGTGGTGTCCACTGAAGGAACTTGAAGTGGAGCACTGGCAGTTCTGAGGCACACTACTCCAGAGTAACTGGATCAGATGGTGTGCCTTCTGAGCAGCTTTCACCTCTAGAACCCCTTTCAGCTATTAATCACTGGTGATGAAAATAAGCTGCTACTGAAAGGGCCCAAGTATTAGGCCCTTTGCTTTAGTCTACAGAGCCTTGTGTGCCAGGACAGAGTGGAAGAGTTTTCCATAAACACTCAGTGAACAGTTGTTTTTGGAAGGTCCAAAGACTGAACTAAGGCTGCAGTCCTGTGTGTACCTGAGAGTAAATGCCATGGAACTGAGCAGGGCTTACTTCTGAGTAAACATGCTTCGGATTTATTTCAAGGCTTCATTAGTACGCACACTAGCAGTAAGTCCCACTAAGCAGAGTGTGGTTTATTTCTCAATAAGCAACTGCAGGAGTGGACTGTAAGATTGTGCTATGGGGGAACTCATAGCACAACCACTATCTGCCCAAAACCAGCTTGCTATAGGCCCCAAACAGCTGATTGGCACTTACAGGAAGACTGCTGAGATCAGCTGCAGTATGGAGTGCATTGTAGGGAAATCCATGACACAGCTGATGCCGATCCAAAAAAGGTGGGATATTATTGCAATAAAAATATTAATAACCTGAGCTTCCTATAAGTGTTGATCAACTGATTGACACTTACAGCAAGCCCCAAAATGGGGCTTGGTATATAGCCAAATATATTTGCATGACTATCTTGAATTGAAGCTATTCATGCAAAGGATCTTCCTCTGTGGGTGCAGTTTGAGACACACCCACAAAATATTTTTTGTTCTGTTTTATGTCTGAAGGTCCTGCCAACCTGTCAAAATGACCGACATGGGGTTGAGACAGCCAGGATCTGGTTTGCTAGTTAGATCATGTTCCTTACCCCTGCCTTAGCGGAAGGACAATATCAGAAATTATATAAGTGAATGATTTCATTATATATAAGCTAGCTTATTTGCTATTACAGATCACTCTTAGGACCATAAATCTATAGCCTTTTTTACTTTGAGTTCAACAATACTGGCACTTACAGCCAAATGGCCCACGTGACTTGCACCAGTGGAGCAGTTTGAGGATTGGGTCTAACAGTGTGAACCACTATGTGTCTACTCAGAAGTAAATCCTATTAAGTTTGATGGGGCTTGCTCCCATGTAAAATGGTACAGGATTGCAAACTAAGTCACTTATTGGCATTGCATTTATAGACCCCAATCCTTGCAAAAATATATACAGTGGTACCTCTGGTTGCGAACAGGATCCGTTCCGGAGGCCCGTTCACAACATGAAAAGAGCGCAACCCACAGCGGCACATTTGCGCATGCGCAGGTTGCGATTCGCCTTTTCTGCACATGTGCGTGATGTCATTTTGCGCTTCTGCGCATGTGCGAATGGCGAAACCCAGAAGTAACCCTTTCCGGTACTTCCAGGTCGCCGTGGGATGTAACCTGAAAGAATGTAACATGAAGCGGACGTAACATGAGGTATGACTGTACATATGCTAAACTTTAAACATGTGAGCAGTCACACTGAAAAGAAAGTTATTGCTGGTTCAGGGAATTAATCTGCATTTCTGAAATACAAAATCACACATATTTTAAACATTTTATATAGCAAGGAGATGTGCTTTAGTAGCCTGCTTACCTGTATTAGTGCAAGGTGAATTTCAAGTTCAGCAATTCTTTTTCCTATACAACTACGTATACCATAACCAAAGGGGATGGAACCAAAATTATCCACTCTGTCCATATTGCTTTTCCTTAGCCAGCGCTCAGGCTGGAACTCATTTGCTAATGGGAAATTCTCTTCCTGATATGATGTAGCATAATGACAGAGTGCCAGCTGGGTCTAATGAAACAAATGAACATATATTTATATATAATTTCCCAAATGCCTGTTAATGAACTACTTATAGTTTCCTAAATATACATTTTATGCCATTTAATATAAATTCAGATTATTCACAAGGATCAACACAATTGCTTAAAAAGTTTAAAAAAACATTGGACAAGCTAAGATGCTAAGAGTGCAATCCTATATACATGTACTCAGAAGTGAGTCTCACCAAGTTCAATAAAACTGGATGCCCGATGTGTATAGGATTTCAGCCTAAATCAGACAAAACAGAACTGACCCATTTATAAAAAGTTTGTACTAAAACCTATGCTTCTTTAACTTCACAAAAAGCTGCCATGCTCTCTAGATTCTTCCTCCTAGAAAAAAAAAGTGTGGCTCATTAGGTCTACCTTAAGTAACTAGTGTGCTTCATGAGAGTGTCTCAAAGCAACTATGTGTGTGTCTCCAAGCAATCTCAGATAGGTGGTTCCCTTCAAGGAGCACACCATACTAAATTTGACATCCTCTCACATAAAAGAAAACCAGGTGATTCAGTTAGTTGCATCAGCATAATCAATTACTTTTATTGGGAGGGTTGTTGGATGCATGCCTGAAATGCAGCTTCAAGGCAAAATCCATTTTAAAAAAACCACTACCCTGCTTTTGGGACGCGGGTGGCACTGTGGTCTAAACCACTGAGCCTAGGACTTGCCGATTGGAAGGTCAGCAGTTCGAATCCCCGTGGCGGGGTGAGCTCCCGTTGCTCGGTCCCTGCTCCTGCCAACCTAGCAGTTTGAAAGCACATCAAAGTGCAAGTAGATAAATAAGTACCGCTCTGGCAGGAAGGTAAACGATGTTTCCGTGCACTGCTCTGGCTTCACCAGAAACGGCTTAGTCATGCTGGCCACATGACCTGGAAAAACTGTCTGCGGAAGCGGATTAACACCGGCTCCCTTGGCCAGTAAAGCGATATGAGTGCCACAACCCCAGAGTCGTCTGCGACTGGACTTAACTGTCAGGGGTCCCTGCTTTTGGCATACCATTCAGGGGGAGGGGATGAAAGCAACCAGCACTGTGGAAGAAAGCGGGCCAAGGGTGGTCAGAATGAATGGTTCACCAGTCTTCTCCTTATGTCCAGTAATTTCTCCATTCAACAGCATGGCAAAGGGGAATACTGAAGCAGCTCATCTCATGTACCATGTCCCCTGATACATATTACCCACAAGGTAAAAGACCTCTACCAGCTAACTCCTGTTCCCATTCTTCGGGTTACTGTTTTACCCAACTTTTTATCGGTGGAGAGCAGAATAACATATAATTATACAAAAAGTACAATTTCAAGTTACCAGTTCCTACACTCAAATAGGTTGAAAATACCATACAGTATAATTTTAGAATGTTTCTTTAAAAAATGTCACCTATGTTTTAAGCTAATGACTTCACATGGCCAGGGGTGTTCCTAGGCGCTTTAAGCACCTGCTGCACATGCTCACAACACAAATTTGCATGTTCTAATTCATGTGTATAAATGGCTCTGAAAATTCAAGATGGTGTATGGCTGTGCCCAGATGTCCAATAAGCAAATGAATTTTCTTCTGTTTTTAAGAAGTTTTTTTTTTTTACAGAGGAAATCTGGGTCCCAAAGCAAAAGAAAAGGAGCTTGGGATCCTGAATAACATCTCTGAACATGCCTAAAATTAAACCAGACTTTCACATAATAGCTCATTTCCTAGCAAAGGCAGTTTCACGTATCCAGAGTAAATCTGTGATTTCATCCTTTCCCACTCCTTTCACAAAGCCATTGTACAACTCACCCCTTTAGGTATCAAGTATCCTCCAACAATCATATCTTTCTGGGTTACTCTACCGTTTCCTGGTAACACTGGATATAACCTACAAACAAGTGTCAATTAGATATTCAGTGCCTGTAATGTTATATTTCTTTAGAATTATTTGAAGGTGCCCACAAATGGGAAGATAGGAGGAATTCAGTGAGTAAACACTGCGTATTTGGATTTTTAACAAGGTTTTGACAAAGGCCTTCAACAATGGCCCCTATATTTTTAAAAATAGCATTAATTGGATAATAGAACAGGGCCCCAATACTAACTGAATTGTTGGAAGTACAAGGTAAGAATAAACTTTTTTTTTTTTTTACAATGTAGCCAAGTAAACAGGGAGTCTGCTTCAAGACTGATGCCTCTTAACAAATTGAACAGTGAGGCAGCCAAGGTCAAAGAAAGCACCATTTTATTTAGGATGGCAAAATCTTAAAAAGATTGTGAAGAGATCTAAACTTATGTGCGGCATGTCATTGGACCCATGCCTTTAGAAAGGCCACATTCTGGATCTGGTCTTCCTGACTGGGCAGAAAGAGGATGATTTGAAAATGAGGGATTGTAAAAATCAGTTGCTTGTCATGGTCAGATCACTTCCTGCTGAGATTTTGGTTTTCAGCAGCTTTTTATCTCTGCAAAAGCAGGGGAACTATTATAACTTATTGGAGGCTGATGTATGCAACTAATTTCCAGACAGCTCTGGGAGATTTTTTGGCTGATATGATTGGTGCTCCCTGTCATGTCCTCCTTGATCTGTGAAATAAACAGGTGACCCAGGCTATTGGCACAATCACACACACCCCAATGTCCTCTCCCACTTCATACAGCCTGACTCCTTGGTATACACCAGAGCTTAGGACAATGATATAAGCTTAGGACAATGATGAATGTAGCCAAACTAGAACCCAAATAAGGGCTCATTATTAAGCCTACTCGGTGGCAATGAAGTCAGCACTATTATATCCAGTAGAACTTTCCCAGATACTGCAGGGCATTTTATATTCTGACTCTAAAAAGTTGGTAGAACCAATGGTGGCTCATTATAACTTGTTTGCAAAGCATTTTGAGAATAGAGTTGCCTGCATCCATGAAGACATTGACTTCGCTATTATAGCAGGTGAATCTCAAGATATATTTAGAACATTATCTGGTTCTGTTTTTTCAGATGAGCTTCAGTTGGTATGGCTCGAGGACATGAACAAGGTGTGTGGATTGGTGTGGACAATCACATGTGCTCTTAACCCATGCCCTTCATGGCTGATAAAAAGTAGTAAAGAGGGGGATGGACAGTTGCTTTTAGTTAATTAGTGTTCTTTTTATGTATTTGAAATTTTGTAATATATTGTTTTTATAATTGTACATAAATTTATAGTAAGCACCAAGTAAATGTAATAAACCACTACTAATACTAACAACAACGACAGCAGCAACAGCAACAGCAACTACTACTATAACAAACTGAGTGATTGGGTAACAGACTGACAGATGAAATTCAATGGAAGTAAAATGATAAACATTCCTAGTTTCATATATAGAATCTAGATTGGCTAAAACCATACAGGATCTTGGGTGTATCATAGAAAACTCATAGTCCTACAGCAATGAAGAAGATAAACTCAATATTAGAAAAGGGGCTACACTTAAATGGAAGTATCATAATGCCATTTTTTAAATCCATGATGCAGTCGTCTCACCCCATCTCAGTAAGAGTAATGTCAAGCTGGAGAAAACATAGAAAAGAGCAATTTGCAATATAAAATTATACATGTTTACTCAGAAGTAAATCTCACTATATTCAGTGGGGTTAATGCATAGGATGGCAGCCTAAAATACTGAAGGAGATAGAGTATTATTACTATTATAACTGCAGCTATAATCCTAAACACACCTACTAGGGAGTAATCTCTACTGAACACCATAGAACTTACTTCTAAGTAAATGTGCATCTGATTGTGCCGTTAGAGAAGATATGCAAGAAGTTTACAAAATTGTTTTGTTCTGTTCACAAACCACAAACTGATCAGATAAACATGAGAGGAGTTCCATCTCATGCAAAACATATCAAATTAAGAAATGCTTGTTTGTTAGTTTTGTATCGTACTTGTCCACTATTGCCACTTGATCCTATGCTGGTTACTAGCATAAACTGTCTTTCAAAAAGAATTATCCAACTTCATTGAGAATAGTCTATCAATAACTATTAGCCGTACAAGTTAAAAGGGAAAGTCTATCTTCAAAGACAGTCTACAACCAACTATCTTTACTAACTAAAATAGTGTCTTTCTCCACCATACCTTCCTTGTAATCTTCATTGAGGCAGCTAACTAGATTTTATTCAGGTGAAGTAGGAACCCATGGTTTCCTGTTGCAATAATGAGCCTGCATAAGCCTCAGGCTCATATGTTTTCTCTCCATGCACAAGAAACAGAAAGCCAAGGTTTCCATTACATCTGAATTTTGGGAAACCATGGTTTTTTTTCTAAGTGTGATTGGTTAGCAAACTAGGATATAATGCCACAGTTTAAAACTGGTTTGTTTTAACTAACCACACTAAAACATACCACAGTTTCCTGCATTCAGACGTAAGGGGGACAGTGGTTAGTTGAAAGGATAAAGTAGAAGTTCCCAATCTTCTCTCGTTGCATATGATCGGGAATGGGAGAGGAGTATGCAAACAGACTCTCTTGAAATAAGAGCACATTATGTAAAAAAAATCACTTAGTTTAAAGAACTATGGCAACTTTGTGAAGCTGCAGGTGGAGCAAGTTTTTGAACCTACTGGCACAGTACTCTGAATATTTAACTCAAAAGGAACTCAGAGAAGCTTCTCTGCAATGTAGGGAACCTACAGTCCAATTCAAAGCCTGCTTAGTCAGCAAAAATGTCCAATTGAATTCAGCGTTGCTTGCTTTTGTAAATGTGCATTGAGATGCAACCATAAATCACTATTTAAAACTACAGAGAATAGTGTGACATACCCTAATACAAATAATGAAGGGGGGGTTTAAAAAACACAATTGCAATTTAGCTAAAACATAGACACAAAACAAGAAAGGAACAAAAACGTTTAATGGTCAACTTAGTTTTTCTGCACTTACCTCAAGGTTTCTTTGAGAAGGGCTCTGATCATTGGTAAGTTGGGGACGTCATGTGCATCAGGGATTTTATCTTTCCCCAAGTTATTGACTATCTCTTTATAGACAGAATGCTGCACTTCCGGGTGCTTTGCTAAAAGGTACGTCGCCCAGGATAAAGTGAATGAAGTCTAGGGCAGGGAAGAGACAGTACCAATGGGAGGGAAAAGATTCAGTAACATTTGCTAAGCAGTAGCATTTTTCATTTTCAACCAATGGTTTATTATAACGTGAACAAAACACAGATATGATTATTATTGTTCTTCATAACAACAGCTAATTTTTATAAAGCTCATACCCAAAGAGCACAATCCTATGTACTTTAACTCAGAAGTTACTGACTTCCCATGGTAACCATGAGGAGGAAGGGGCAAACAGCAGTTACTCCACTCATTCCAATTTTGTGCTACGCTGCCTCCAGTCCCTCATTTCATTATTTTCATTATGTTCTGCATTATCGTTTTTCTAAAAAGCTCTGGACAGCTTCTCTCAGTAGAGGCTGGGAGCCGTGCCTAACTACATAAGAAATTGCTGTGAGCTAAACAGTGTCTCCTCTCAGGTTCCCAGCTCCTTCACATCCTCTTCAAAACTGGCACCGTGCTAAAATAACTGAAGTGCTTTGAAGCCCAGTAACAGCTGCCCTATTCTATTCAAAGTCTTTAATAACCCCTTTCTGTGCCTGCTGCTTTTATATTTTAAATCATAGCACTGAGGGACCAGGGCTTAGACACTTCCCTTCATATAGTACAGAATCATGATAATCTGGTTATTACCAGCTACAGAGGGAGATATAAATTAAGACAAATGCTCTGATAGCACAATATATTGCCAATTCAGGTTCTATAAAAGAGCTTGCTTCAAAACTAAAAGTCGAAATGCATGTATAGAACATATATATTTGACACACTTTGTTTTATTCTAAGGTCCTCAAGTTAATGTCCCCGCCCTTCAGGCTTAAAATCAGAAGCTACTAAATTCAGGTGTGGAATTAGTTTTAATTAAAGCAAATTATTTATGTTAAATGATATCTTAATCATACTTCCATAGATTTTGCTGGGGGAGAGTATTATAATTCAAATCTGTAACATAAGGTAAAATAACATCAGCTCACCCTTACCAAGGGCCGGCCCTACCATGAGACAGAGTAAGGCAGCTGCCTCAGGTAGCAAATACTGAAGGGCAGGGAATCCTGCACCCACTAAAGTCACTGCCCTTAAGATGCAGTAGAGGATGTTGAAATAAGATTCAATCGCCTGCTGAGCTTTTCTACATGGAATGGGAATGAGAAGATGAAAGTTCTCGCCCTTTGCTTAAGGCAGCCAAATGCCTTGGGTTGAGAGCCAGTGTGGTGTAGTGGTTAAGAGCGGTAGTCTCGTAATCTGGGGAACCGGGTTCGCGTCTCCACATGCAGCTGCTGGGTGACCTTGGGTCAGTCACACTTCTTTGAAGTCTCTCAGCCCCACTCACCTCACAGAGTGTTTGTTGTGGGGGAGGAAGGGAAAGGAGAATGTTAGCCGCTTTGAGACTCCTTAAAGGGAGTGAAAGGCGGGATATCAAATCCAAACTCTTCTTCTTCTTCTTCTTGGGTTGGCCCTGTCCTTGCCTGATGGCATGAAATACCATTGTAACTCTTATTACTTAACAACACACTCACTTTTGCCTTGCCATCTTTCTTAGAGAAATTCTGATAATGGTATTTGTTTTAGATATATGTAGGCAGAAGCAGACTAGTTTGCTGCTCCTCAGACCTCAGCTATAGCTTTACAGATTTATAGAATTTATTTATGTGTCTGAGGTAAGTCTGATACTAGAGAACAATGCAACAGCGGGTGACATGGTGGGACTGCGCCACCCATCTGACCTCCCATCTGGCTGAGTCACTCCAACATACCAGGATGGAGAAGGGGAGGGGCACAGTGGCAATTATGACAACACAGTGCAAATCCACCAGCGGGAGGGAGCACTGGATTGACCTCGCCACCACCACACCCCTCCTTCTCTCCGTTCCAACATGTTGCAGTGACTCAGCCAAGCGGAGGTCAGGTAGGTGGTGCAGCCCCACTACATCATTTGCTGCTGCAACAATCAAAACATGAAATGCTGTTTATACTGTATTCTATAGGAAGGAAAATAACTCCATATTTATTTCTCCTTTGTTGCCTAAAAGCAGGTTTGTTTTTTGCCAATTATTTTTATTGATTTTCCAAATTGTTACAAATCGAACCAAATTAATTCAATTTAATATGCCTAAAAGGAGGTTGTATCTTGCAGGTTTAGGGATATTCTGTCTTGAGATAAATTGACCAGACAGGGCCAGCCCTGCTTTGAGCCAAGGTGAGCCGTTAGGCTTAGGCAACACATTAGAAGGGTTAATGTGAGTCCTGATCCCATTGTCACCCTGGATTGAAACTCAGACAAGGGAGAAACTAAAACAGTCCTGATTCTCTTTCTCCCCCTGCCTCGCTCTCTCATAAGGAATTTAGGAAATGTCCACTGAACAACAATAACAGCAATCATATTGATAATGTAATAACAACAGTCATAGCAGTAAACCTACTGTATCAACTCCTGCCAAAAGCATCTCAGTCATATTGGCATAAATTTCTTCCACTGTAAGTTCTTTACTATTAAGCAGAGTTGTGAGAAGTCCACCATCTACCTCTTTCCCCTGGTCCAAAAGGGACTTTATATCACGTAATTTATTGTCGACATGAATTTGACCTTTGCGATGAAGAAAGAAGAAGGGGGAATGCATTTGTTAATCAGTGAGATTTCGTTTCTCAAACTGTTATTTCTCATTTGTCATTTGGTGACAGCAACCAACACAGGGCTTTCATAACAGGTTTAGAGTTGTGTGCTGTTTTTTTTGTAAGCTCATTACACATTGCTTGCTAGAAAACTGTTCTAGCTCTGCTAAACAAAGTGATCTGCTGGGCAAAGCACATAACTACAGCCCCACATAAATTCTGTTATACAGCAAATTATACTCAAAGCGGGGGAAGCGGCATGGCCATTAACACGGCTGAAATATGAGATTATCTTTTCTTTTTGCTTTCTAGGTAAGGTGCAATGTGAAGTCAGGCTCAGTTGAGATGTTCCTCTAAAGTCTCCAAACCATAGTTTGGAAGATGATGAATGGCCTAAAGCAGGCGTGGTGAACCTCATCCCCAAGGTCCGAATGCAGCCCTCTAGGTCTCTCTGCCTGGCCCCTCAGACTCTCCCTGGAGCACACACCCTCTTCTCATGCCCCATCCCTTGCTGGTGCTGCTCTATGCCTTCCCTGGCTGCTTCTGCCTTGCTGGAATACATCCTTGAACTGCACTAATGCCTTGCTACATTTATTAAGGAAGAAGAAAACATTGCTCTCCAAATTACTGCAAACTTATGAAACCAAAATGATTAAAAAAACAACAACAACTTACTAAATCTGAAGAGTCCATCCCATGATCTACAGAATTCTCTCCAAGGTTTTGGAATAATTGGACGAAGCCATTTGGGAATGGCTCCTGCATACATGGTAGTCTTGAAACTACTGAACATCAACTCCAAAGCTTCAATGTATTCCACAGTGTTCTGGGGGATCTGGTTTTCCAAGCACCCCAGGCGGCACTCATACAGAACAGTTGCCACTCCTACAGAATAAAAATACCTTGGGATTTATTCTTTTCCTTTCCAAAGTAATTCAAAGTGCAGAACTAAAGAAAGCTAGCAAACACCCCCACAACAAAAACCAAAGGCCCAGTCCTATGCACATATCTGGGAGGGAGGCCCATTGTCTCAACACACATGGGATTAAGCTGCATGGCTATAATACTGTCTGTACATTTACACCAGTGCCGGATTTACGTATAAGCTAAACAAGCTATAGCTTAGGGCCCCACTCTCTTGGAGCCCCCCAAAAAAATTAAAGGAAAATTGTAATTCCCTATTAATATACTTCTTCTTAATTGTATTTCAGTTCAACAATTACTTTGATAAAATACATATTTTGTTATGTGCAAATGGCTTTAGATACCTATTAGGTCCATAAATGACCACATAGCATATATTCAACACTAAAACAGTAATAATTTGTTGTTGACAAAGGACAGCTGGACATATAAAGGGCCCCATTACCTTCAGTAGCTTAGGGCCTCATGAAACCTAAATCCAGCCCTGATTTACACACAGCATTTTTTGTGGAGTAAGGCAACATACACATAGCATATGGTGTAATGGTGCAAACACTGAATAATGCACTACATTACACTGAAGAGGAATAATGTACAGTGCAACTTTATCCATCTGCAGCACAGATGAGCAATATATGTGAACCAATGTATGCCTATTAATGACACCAGCTCCATCCACTGTTGTCCATGTCCATGCAGTCTGTGAGCAGCCGTCCAACACCACATGTGCACTTTGCAGGCAAAAAAAGTCAACTACCAGTGATGTACTGTGGAATGTATTGCGAGACAATTATATTGTTCTCCTTAATAGCTGAATACTGCTTATCCAGACATTGTACCTTTGTGTAGAACATAACTGTGTTCCTTTTGCCAACTTGAGTAATGCAAGAACAGTTGTTGTTGTTGATGATGTTGATAATATTAATAATAATAATAAGCAATAATGGTTGATGAAACACCAACACAGCCACATCTTCCATTAATTTCTAAGAATGAATGATCAATCTCACCTTCCATTGAATACTTGAAAAAAAGGCTGTTAACATTTGTCACTGTTTCCCCATCTTCTTCTTGATTTCTGAGAATGTGGATTCTCTTAATTAAATCTGCAACAACTTCATTAACTCCTCCTGAGAAAACGGCAACATCTTTGGGTTTTACCATTTTTTGCCTTAGTACACGCCTCATTTTTAGCCACTGTTCCCCTTCTCTGGAAGAAATAACAGTTTAAAATTATCTAAATAATTATTTATGTCAATAAGTAAAAAAAGAGAGCATCTCTCATTAGAAAGCCTTAACCAAATGTGTCTATTCTTGAAAGTGTTGTTGCAGGAATAATATTTGTGTGCTGACTATTCAATCATTTAGATTTAACAAGAAGCAGATAGCACATTGCCTTACTGGTTATGTATTACATATTTTACAAACTGGTCCAAGTCTAGTTTCAAGATAAATAATCATAAAAAGAGATAGCAGTGCCCTTTAAGTTGCCCATCAACAATTAGCACTTGAAAAGCAGACTGAATAGGCAAACAGTTCACCTGGTCTCAGCTGTCGCTACTATATTGAGATTATATATTTCCATTTGAGACTTGTTTCTAAATGTGTGTTTGTGCGTTAGCATATGCAAACCTGTGTCTTCTTTTGTCCTCTTGTTTTGATAGTTTTTTCTGATTCATAAGAGGCCACCCTAGAGGTGAGGTGTGCTCACACATGTGAAATTGTGCAGTCTGATCAGATCAGTTAGGATACAATTAAGTCCAGCTGCCTCCCCATTTCCCCCTCCTCCAAAAAAGGTGCCTAGCACTGTTGTTTGAACAGCAGAGATCTTTGTGTATAATGGAATATGTCTGGATCAGTGCTACTGAATTCTGTTATTAATATATATCAAACTAGGCAATGGGGTGTGATAACAACTCACATGTAAATTAATTAGAAGTTTTGAGAGGAATGTGACCCATACCACTCATACCAATTTGATCAGAGTTTGCTTCCCGCCCCCTGTTTCCATGAAATGCATCTAGTCCCTGCTAGCTTCCTTATACTCTTAAGTATATTGAGGGGAGATCTGATGTTAAGCTAGTGGACCTGATGGAGGTCACACTTCTCCTTCACTCCACTGTGCCCTTGGGGTATGTGGGTGGCTGCAGTGGGAAGGAGAGGATCAATAAGCCCCATTTACATAAGAAGTCGTTTAGGCAAGCAAAATGCTGCAAGCAAGATGATACAAGTGGATATTATGCTTTAAGTCTAATTATTAAATGTTCGCTTTCTCAGTTGTGCCATGCCATTTCAAATTAAATGCCATTCACTTCAGTGGACTTTAAATATATATAACAGTGGAGTGATTGAAGCCTAACATACAACGGTTTGAGTGCATATTAAAAATGGGTGACATTCTGAGTTAGTCAAACACCGAATAGATCCATTGATGTTGATGGACTTAAGTTATTGGTTTACTCTGAGAATGACTAACATTCCTATGGGGGAAATGGAACATTCCATCTCTAGACTTACAAAAGAAATACATTTATTTTTGTCCATACTGTAGCATTAAGATGTTGCTAACCTTTACTAATGTACAGCCTAGTTCTTACTACATAAAGCACTTAGCTGCTGCAATGTTATCATGTGATAAAAGCAGAAGAATGTCTGTGAGTCATAAAGGGATTGGCTTTCTTTGGAATAAGCACATTGCATCAATAATTACTCTGAATGTTCCCTAAAGGCATTTGCCAACACTCATCCCCATAGGTATATAATCATGCTACAAGCACATTCTTTCAAGAAACGCATTAATCAAAAACAGTTTAAAATGTATCATCAGTGTCTTTTGTGTGAAACCCAAAGATATAAACATTGTTTGGCAACGTAATGCCAAAAATACCATTGCACTCACGCAGATATAAGTCCTGTAGCTCTCCCTCGTAGATCCCTGTATTCCTGCCAGGAATCCATGTCAGCTCGTTGTGGCGCGGATCCTTCTTCTCGAAGAACCTGAGCAACCATGTCTCGATCTGCAATGGATACAACTAGTTTGGGACCAAAATGAGACTTGAAAATTTTTCCATATTCCCGAACGTGCTTCTGCTATGAACGAAAAGTAAATTTCAGATGAATACATTATTCATTCTTACCAGCAAGAAAAAATATATTCATATGGCTATGCAGTTAGAAGTAATGAACTACATTATAGCCTGGTTTCCCAGATTCCCTGGCACCTGAAAAGCTGCTGTTGCAAAACTCAAGGAGCTGAAGCAAAATGGGTTTTAATCTGATTTTAATCTGAGCCCAGGGGCATTCCCCCAGGGCATGGTTCCCTCTTCATAATGCAACATTAAAGGTTCTGCCATGGACAAATCTGTATTCTGACCCAGGGAATTAAAAACAATATGATCGCTTCAGGCATTGTACATAATTTCAAGAACTTGAAGTAAAAGGTCAGGTGTGCTTTCTGTTTTGCCCAGTTGTGAAACTTATGAAAATGCTCTCTTTCCACCACCCCAGTGGTCGAATATGTTTATTAGAGTTCAGGAGAATGTGTTGTTAGAGCATGCAAACAAAATATATTTATAAACGTTATAAGTGTTTGACATAGTCAACATTAGATGTGTCTGAATAATTTTTTACAGTGTGTTGGGATTGGAATAAGAACAGAAAGTTAAGAAATTCCAACAAACCTGAAATGGAACTTTGCCCACATTTTTAAAGATTTGAAGTGACATTTTATTTATTTTACTTTATAATAAAAAGTTAACAAAGCAGTGTACAATAAAGGAAGATAAAGTATAAAATATGAAAGATTAAGAACTTTATACAGTGGTACCTTGGTTCTCAAATGGAATCCATTTCGGAAACCTGTTCAGCTTCCAAAACATTCAAAAACTGAGGTGCGGCTTTCCATTGGTTACAAGAGCTTCTTGCACTCAGCAGAAGCTGTGTTGCACGTTCAGGTTCCGAAAAAAGTTCAGAAATGGAAGCATTTACTTCTAGGTTTTTGGTGTTCAAGAACCCAAACGTACGACAATGGAGGTGTTCCAGAACCGAGGTACCACTGTAAATGGAAGTCTATAAAGCCAGTAATACAATTATACAGTTATTATTCCATAAAATGGCAGGGTAAATGAAAGTCTTCTTAAATAAAGATATCATTACTGGCTGTCTCAATATCAGAATGCTAGGTGTTTCAAAATGTAAATTATTCCAGAGGGCTGGAGCTGCAACTGTAAAAGCCCACTTTCTAGTGTATGCTAAGCACACATCTGGGGCATGCAGAACTGAATAGTGCTGTTTCCAGGCAGAGAGATATATATGAAGAGAAAGAGTCCCTTAGGTAACCTGGTCTCAAACTGTTTAGGGCTTCAAAGGCTAAAAGGAAAACATTGAGGTGAGCTCTGTAGCAAGCTGGCAGCCAGTGCAGCACCCTCAGGACAGGTGCCATATGGTGCTGACTGGCTGTCCCAGTCAACAACCTATCTGCAATATTCTGCTCCAGCTGCAGTTTCTGGACTAAGCTTAAAGGAAGCCCCACATTAAATGCACTGCATTAATCCATCTTCAGGTTGCCAGTGCCAGGACCACAGCGGGCAAGCTTCTTTTCTTAGGCCAGGAAAAGTCATAGCTGTCTAATCAACTAAAGCTGACACAAGGCCACATGCTCTTCAGGTGACACAGGAGACTATACACCGGTAGATCAGGGGTCAGCAACCTTTTTCAGCCATGGGCCAGTCCACCATCCCTCAGACCATGTGGTGGGCCAGACTATATTTTGAGGATATGAAAGAATTCCTATGCCCCACAAATAACCCAGAGATGCATTTTAAATAAAAGAGCACATTCTACTCATGTAAAAACACACTGATTCCCGGACTGTCTGTGGGCTGGATTGAGAAGGAGATTGGGCCTTAGGTTGCCTACCCCTGATATAGATATTCCTTCAGAGGGAATGCAACCCCACCTAGAACAGGGTGCTGACCTATCTCCCAGATACAGAAACCACTCACCCACAGGGCTTCCACACTGCCAGTTTTTAAACTAAAAGATGGATTCACCTAAGTTGTTGTGTGCTCAGAATGAGGTCTGCTCATGCAGTGGAACTCCCACCTCCCTCCATGCTCTGCTCTGGAAGGCTGGGGAAGAAACGCAGAACAGGTTTGGGGGCATGCTAGGGGGCACATGGGCAGAAGAGATGGGGGAAAGTCCCATTGTGAGAATATACTTCCCTCCCCACATGCATACACCACTTAGCACTGTACTGAATTTCTCCGTAGGTTTATTGGCCCTCAACCCGCCTAGCACTGAGCTCTGTGCAGAGCCTGTACTCCTGACTCAGATCTAACAGAGGAATAGCTATATTTGTCTTCAGCATACTGGTAACACTTTATTCCAAATCCCAACACCTTCATATAGATATTAAACAGCCTTGGGAAATAATATTGCCCTGCAGAACCTCATAGTACAAATTGCAGAGGGGCAAACAGCACTCCTCCAAAGCTACTCTCTGGTACCAACACTGCAATCAGTATGGGATCTACTAAGTGCCCACAACACCATGCTACAAAACCAGTCCAGAAGGATACTGTGGCCAATGGTATCAAAAACTGCTGAGAGATCAAGCAGAAGAAGCAAGAGCATACTCCCCTTCTCCCAATGAAGGTCATACATCAGGACAAACAAGGCCAATTCAGTCCCAAATCCAGATCTGAACCCCGACTGAAATTAGATGAAAATAGCTACATCCAATAATGGCTACAGCTCATCCACCACAACCATTTCAATCTCCTTTCCAAGAAAACACAGACTAGTGGGTTGAGGGTTGCTTTTTGTTTCTAGGAACAGCCATGTTAGTAAGCAAAATATTCCATTTTTGTTCAGCTCTTTCTTCTGCAATACTTTTGGTTTTCCCATTTCTTGGAAAAATCTATTTATGGTCTATATACTGATTGCCGGGGGGGAATACATGCCCTTAAATGTCCCCACCTTACAGCAGCTTTAATCTTTTAAATACATTGCAAAATTATATATAATTTTAGAGGGAAGAAGGCTTATTCATATAGCAATGAATCTCTGCCAGCTGGAGACAACAAGAGGACAATTATGAAAGAAGAGCTGGTGAAAAACATTTGAACTATGAAGAATTTTAAAAAGTGCCTTCCCTAGCAGATTATATGACATAAAGATTAAAGATTATACTTTGTTTAATAAATTGTGACTGAACCACTTTATTTCAAAACTGAGCAACAAAGTCTATTTAAAGAAAGAAATACTAAAGTTGTGCTTGAGAATTCTGAGATTCTTCTGGAAATTATGCTCAGCATTCAAGAACTACGGCTTGGATCTTAAACTGCCCTTCTATGAATAGAAAGAACTCTCATCCAAGGAAGGCTTCTGCAGGCAGAGGGAAAGGTGGTGATTTTCATCCATTCCTCCCCCCCCCCACCTCCCATGTTGTTCCTGGAGGTCCCCAGGCCTCTGAGGCATATTTTCAGAGAGCACAGAGGGCTGCAGAAAAAGAACAGAATAAGTGAAAATCACATTACCCGGCATGTGCCAGTGGAGTATTCTGTGAGAGTTCTGCTCTCATGAGAATTTAGGGATCCAGTCTGCTATGGCCTCAGTAGTGCTGCAGATAAGGGCTTTCTTCACCAAAACGAAACAGAAAATCTAAATCTGGCAAATTATTTTTAAAAACCTCCTAATAATCCCAATGACGTTTAAATGCTGTGCTGTGAAATATTGCCTGCTCACTGCGCTCACCAATGTCATACAAGCATTTAATCTTTGCTCAGTCATTAAAACACTGTTTATAATTTATGTCCGTCCATCCCGCTAATGTTACATACCACTTCACATGCAAATATATAGATTTTTGGGGGTGGGAAATTCATTTTCTGCTTTCTTGCTTAACAATGCAGAGAACAAATTGCATAGCTATAGCTCTTCTAAATGAAAGATGTTTCTCTTTAACCAAAGCAGAGCTAGGCATAGATGTTGTGGCTTGGCTTAATGTTGGAGTCAGGTTACTGACAAACAGAACCTTCATTGTAAAACCACTCAACTCCCTCCCCCACTTTCACATATGGTGTGATGCATGGAATATTCTGCATGTCAGACTGCATCTTTTAAGTAGCTGCTGTGATTGCTCAAAGGTTTCAGATTATTATTTTTTATTCTATTCACTTATGTTCTTAACAGAGTTTTATTAATTCTTTTAGAGAGTTGCATAAGTGTGGTGGTTTGCATAAAACTCTTGAACAAGAGAGCTACACAGTATTACAGACTGAGTCATGTACTTGCTTGCTACCACTTCCTGTAGCTTCCAATAAACTGTAAATGGTTTATTACCCTACATGGATGTAGAATTGAAACAAAATGTTTGACTTGATTATTTAATTAGCTATCCCCTTTCTATTGTGCAACCAACAATGTGAAAGGGTGGCTTTTATGTCAATATTTTCAATAAATGCATGGGTGATATGAGGAGTCTAACATGCAGATGCCTTTGTGAAGCCCACAGGCAGGAGTTGAGGGTGTAGCAGCCACTAGTTTTCAGAGCCATGCTTCCTCTGAACTTGAAGGTAATATACAGTATAGCAATCATACCAAGTGCTGAGGCCTTGCTGATGAATTGGAACAATTGTCAAATAACAATAGTATGCTTGTGGAAGACTCTTGAGAGTCCTATGGACTGCAAGAAGATCAAACCGATCCATTCTTAAAGAAATCAGCCCTGAGTGCTCACTGGAAGGACAGACCCTGAAGCTGAGGCGCCAATACTTTGGCCACCTCATGAGAAGAGAAGACTTCCTGGAAAAGACCCTGATGTTGGGAAAGATTGAGGGCACAAGGAGAAGGAGACGACAGAGGACGAGATGGTTGGACAGTGTTCTCGAAGCTACCAGCATGAGTTTGACCAAACTGCAGGAGGCAGTGGAAGACAGGAGTACCTGGCGTGCCCCATGGGATCAGGAAGAGTCGGACACGACTAAACAACTAAACAACAACAAAATGCTTCTGGAAACTGGACCCTCTTTCAGTGATATTTGGTGCTGTTCTTTATTAAGTGTTTGTGAAATAATCTTGATATCCATGCTGAGACCTCTTTAGTGACTTAATGGCATGAGTGGGCTGTTCTTGGTATGGATCAGAACCTACTTATACTACAAATCACACCTTGGATTTGTACTGGACAGGACACTGGAGATCAATACATGGGAAATGTAGTTACAACAACATGGATAAATCCTTACCTGGTGATTAGCTTTATAGTGAATACAGCCTTCTTGGGAGAGAGTAATAGTAGTTAGGATAATCTGCCTATATAAAGGCTAATGGTTACAAACGGTTTCTTGACTGCTCTCCAGGGAATTTCCTTCAAATCAATATTGCAAGTTGTCCCACTGAAGTACTACTCAACTTCTAAAGCAAGCAGATAGTATGAGCAGTTGACACTATTGTTCCTAGACACACTATCCTACATGCCACAGTTCATGGTCAGGCTGCACATTATGCTTCATGTGTAATAGAAGCTAGGCTTCTTGTTTTTATCTAAATAATTACAGCCAGGGGACAGGAAGGTTATTCCTTTCCTCCCCAGTTGTGACCCTCCAGCAGTTTCTTTCTTAAAAAGAAAAAAAGGAGTCCCCATTGTTGCCAATTGTCTCCCTGTCTCTTCAGGTTTGATCCCTAATATTCTGTAGAGTTTAAGATAATGAAGAGGTAGGGATGACCAAACACAGACCAGAGCCTGTGTTCTTTTGTGGCAGTGATGGTGATGTGAAAATCTTACTTACCGTATCTACTACCACTGTATCCACAGTGGTCAATCAGCTGAACTTTCCTGGGTAGCTATGGGCCTGTTATATCCAGGTCTCTAATGGGACAACAAATCAGCCCTGGTTATCTGCTGTGCTACATTTGCTAAATGTGTTGCAAGAAAAATTGTATGTATACAAGCTGATTTAGATGCTACATTGACGGAGAATAACATTTTAGATGTGTCCTTGCCTTCTTATTACATTTGCAGAATGAGTTTAGTTGTTGAATTTCCTGAGCAGGTAGATTGATATTTGGACCCAAAGTTCCTGCCGTGGAACAGTACCTCTGCTAGTGCGTGGGGGTTTCTTTCTTGACAGTTTTCACCTCTTGAAAACTGGTTGCAGAGGAAGAGGGGATTGAGATGAAGAGAATTGGGAAGGGGGTTTAATTACGAGCCAGCCTTCAATCTACAATTAATGGGCAATGTGACTTAGAATTTGGTAGGTATTTATCCCACAAGCTTTTGGATAAGCTTGCTAGGTTGGTTACGGAGATTGTAAATGCCCCTTTATATGAGCATGTAGGAGGTGGTGGTAGCGGTGATGAAATCTCCTTTTGCAAGTCAGTCCCAGAAGATGTCAGTAAGTCATTTCCCTAGGTTTTCGTATGTCTTTTACTCTCTGGTCCTTCCAGTTCCTTCCCTTCCAGTTCCAGATTTCTTCCATTTCCTTCCCTTATTCAGTGTGTATAAGATACAACTGAGCAGCAAGACAACAAGATTTGGTGAGATCTCTATATGCTGTTGCCATCCCACTTTATCTTTCTTCCTCATCCAATCCAGGAGCTGCATAAGATCCCGCATGGCTTCTAACATGCCTAGAACCTGGATGTAAGTGAACTGGCAAACTAAATCCAGAAATACTGAACTGATATTCTGAGCGTGTGTTGTAACCTGTCAGGTTTACAATCTGAAATCAATGCATTTGACTACTTAGCCCCCAAGCCAATTCTGAAGTATTCTTAATTGCATATAAAGACCTGAACAACTCTGGACCAGTATGCCTGAAAAACTAAAATCCTCTCCATTGCATCGTAAGGGCATTAAGATCAGCCAGCAGTCTTGCCACAGCCTAATGATGATCAGCTTGTGGTAACAGGGAAGCAGGCTTTTTCATTGGTGGCACCAGTGTTAGGAAATGCATCCCTTACTTAAATATAGGAGGTCCCATCTGTATTGGTATTCCACTGGTTTTTGAAACATGCTTGTTTACACAAGCATTCCCTTGATCTCTCAAGAGTCTCCTGTTTTAATTACTGTGTTTTTTTAATTGAATATTTAAATTGCGGATTCTTTTAACTGGATTGTTTCATTGTGTGTTTTAATTATGGATATTTCTATTTGATTGATTGCACAGTTGGTTTTTATACTTATAAACCACTAAGAATGCTCTTTTGGCATTAATCCATATAGAAACGAATGAATAACAATTTATTAATGTATTAATAATAATATAACGTTGTGATGCATTTCTTAACTCCTGTTTGCCCCCACCTTTACCTGTGAGCACTAAGATCCACTGAGAATACCCTCTTAAATATATTAGCAGGATATATCATATCTTATCTTTCATTAGCAAGGGAATATGAAAGGACCCCTCAGCGGTTTACTCACAACTACAAAACTTCCCAGTATGCAGTATTTGATGGTCAAGGTAGCAACACACACACACACACACACACAGAGAGAGAGAGAGAGAGAGAGAGAGAGAGAGAGAGAGTAATCCATTTTAAAACCTGCTGAGGCCAACCTCCCGAGGAAAATAAAGCAGTCCCACATGTCGAGCAAAACAACCGGTCCCTGGGATGAAAGGCTTAGCGAAGCAGATGTAAAACGTTAGCGCTGTCAAGTGCCAGGAACAGCGTGGATGGCAAATGCACCAAGTCCTTCGGGGCGGGGGTGCAAAATGTGTTTTTGTGTGGTGTCAAAACACTCCTGGCTCCATAGCAACCCTCCTGTTATGCGGCGGGGGGCGGGGGGGCGGGGAAGGGCTGAGCACAGAACCAGATGTGGGCAAATTAGCAGCCAAGCACCAACCCGAAGCGGGGAGGGTGGGTGGGGAAGGGATCTTAGCGCTGCCTCTCTTCAAAATCACCCTGCCTCCCCCCCCCCACCGCCCCTTTCAGGCTGGAAAGCAGACAACTGCTGGTCCCACCAGCCTCCTCAACCCCACGTCACGTGGGGCTCATCTCCCCGCCAGCATATGGGGCGGCGAACGGAGGAGTGTGGCGCCTTTTGGCTGGGGAGGAAGAGCCCTCGTCGCCCACATTTGGGCACCGGGGAGCTGCGCGAGGATGAGCAGCCGTGGCCTCCCTGCGTCTCCTCCAGCCGCCACCGTTTCGCGCTCTCTTTCAATAGGGAGCGAGGGAGAGGGAAGGAAGGAAGGAAGTTCGCCGGGAAACGGGGAGGGTTTCAAAGCGCCCGCCTCCGGCTGAGGGGACGCTTGTGCAACTTTCTCGCCGGCAGCTCGTGCTGCTGCTGCTCCCCCCCCCTTCTCTCTCGTCAACCATATCTATCTATCTATCTATCTATCTATCTATCTATCTATCTATCTATCTATCTATCTAATCTATAACGTGCATATATACTCTACGTCCCCCCTCCCCCGGGGACCTGTGTAAACGAAGGCGACAAAATGGTCTCTCCCCGGAGCTGAGGAGAAAGGTGCGGGTTTCAGCCCTGCGACCCTGGAGCTCCCTCGTCAGCACCGCGGCCGAGAGCGGTAACCTCACGGACACACATACGACGCACGAGGCTGCGTCACGCGCGTCTCCGGCCACGGCGAGACGGTCCGGGGGGGGGAATAGTTCGGAATAAAAGCCTTGACCAAAGTCTCGCGCTCAGACATTTCCGACCGCAACACCTCCTTTTCACGTTCTTGTCAGTCCCCTCAGAGCATCTGCCACAAACAAACAAAAAACCACCTCAGAAGTCACGCTTCAGACTTCAAAACTATTTAAATACAGCTAGTTATATTTTCTGCCACCTATTTTCTGACTTGTGGGTAAAGTTATCAGACTATATGAACGACACACACACCCCTACAATCTCTCTAGGTTGTATCTGCAACCCGATATTTTACAAAAGGGTTCATCATATACTCCTGGAAAGCAAAGCAAAGGAAAATAACACAAAACTGATTTCATTTTCTGAAGGGGGGGACGGCACACACACAGCTGCCCTCCTTGCTTCACAATCAGACGACAAGGGAGCCCTGCGAGGGGAGAGAAATGCGTGTGAAATCTTCCTGTCCCACCACCGTGATTTACTCGCTCTTTTGTTGCCCAATTTCGTCGACCGTCTCCTGCCACGGATCCCCTTCCGCTCAATGGTACCTGGATCTCGTGAATGCGGCTAAAGCCATCCTTCCAGAAAAACTCGACCAGATTGGAGAAGGTCTTAGGTCCGGGCATTTCCCTCAGGCTCCTCACTCTCTGGTGGCTCGGGTGCTGGCAGGCGTCGAGGAGGAGCCCCCGGGCTCCACGGTCCGAAGCTGCCCCCATCTCCTCCTCGTCGTCGTCGTCTTTGTCCTCCGCTCTCGCAGCTGCCTCCTTCTGCCCCTCCAGGGACGGGCTGCCTGAAAGTTTGGGCAGCTGGTGAAGCCTGCTGACAAAAGCCACGCCGCCAACGCAGCTCCTGCGAGGCTCCAGCACCTGCCTGCAGTCCCTTCTCAAGACTTTGGCGAGGAGAGACATTTTCTCTGTCTGCTGCCCTTCAGGGGCTGCCGCCTTTCATTGAGTCGCGGCTCCTCTGTGGGATTTCTCGTCCAGCAGTGCTTCTTCCCCAAACTCTTCGCTGCCTGAGCATCAGTTTACACAGACCATTATTAAAGGCTCCCTCCCCTGAGGCTGGGAAAAGGCGGAGTGGCCTGCCATGAGGGGAAGGAGGCGGCATGTATTCTGTTTCATTTAGGTCAGATGAAATGCCCCACATGAGTGTCTGATCTGAAACTGGTCAACATGCAGGTTTTTCTACTCTCCTCCCCACTGTTTTGGCAAAAAAAAAAAAAAAGGAGGGGAGGATTTGGCTGTGAGGCGCCTCTTTCTCTTGGTCGGCTTGGTTTCCATGTGTCAGCTAATGTTCAGCCAGATTCCTAAACTGCACAAAGAAGGGCACTCAGTGTGCAGCAGAATAACCAAAGGGGAACCCTGAGTTATTCTGTACACAGAATGCTGAAAATGTATTCAAAACTGCATAAATGACACATCTTTGCCATGATGTCCTCCACTGATCCTGATAAGTGTGTCCATGCATGCCCTTTGCTTCTTACATATTGCTGGAGTACTATAATAGTATCTTGTAGCTGTCTAACATTTTCCAGTTCAACAGATTTGCTTTACGTCAGACCTGCCGGACATTGCATAACACTCTCGTGCAACAGTATCCATGCCTACCATTCTGGTTTTGTTTACACAGAGAATCATCTAAGTTTCAAACTATATTGTAATCTCTTTGCACTTTTCAAAAGTTAAAACCAATGAAAACCGATCAACATCAGTGAGCTCGCAGCTCTGAGAGAACCCGAACAGATTCTTCCCCTCACTTCTCACTGCGTAAGTTTTCTTCTGACTTGCCCAAACGTAGCGCTGTTCTTGGCTGGGTTTCTGTCTTGGCTTTTCCTCTACTCCCGCTCTGCATTGCTGCCATGTAAATTTTAAGTAACAATAAAACATAATTTTCTTTTTTTTAAATAAATTTTTATTAAAGTTTTTTATAACAACAAAGACAAATCAAAACAATACAATAAACACAACAAAACAAAAAACAAGTACAATTTCAAATCTTAATTTCTTATGCCTTGCTTCCCCGACTTCCTCATACCTCCCCATTCTGTATTCCAATTTCTAATCAATTTCTAATAAAACATAATTTTCTATAGGATTATCAATATGCCAGCATCAATATTTTCTCCATAACTAGAAACAGTCCTGCTAACACATTCCACAAGGGATACTGATGTTATTTTTAGTGAATAGAGTGCAATATATGTGCTAATGTAGGACATAAAGCAATAGAAAGCCAATTTTAAATTAATTTTATTTGCTTGTCAGTGTTTGGTTTTCCACTTATGTTGCAGACCAGGAGTGGTATCTAAGTCATGCTCAGAGAAAACCCACTGAATGGAAGAAATTCAACATTTTCCTGTTATGAGTTTTCCTATCAGTGCATGCATTTCTGCTTGCCAGATGGAACAATGTCCCCCTCTTTCCCTCACATGCTGTTCTGAGGGTTCTCCCAACTCCACAGACCTAACTGAGGGAGTGGGAACACGCAGGCAGAAAGCCCTGGAACGCCTTGTGCTGTTTAGTTGAATCTAGCCCAATGGGTGGTATTAAAGTAAATTTTACTGAGAACAGAGTCAACAAACTGAAGCTCAATCCAGATAAGACTGAGGCATTGTTAGTGGGCCTAGATCCATCCTAGACCAGATGGATAGAAAGTTGCTTGCACTTGATGGGGTTACACTTCCTCTGAAGGTGCAAGTGCTTCTGGATCCATTGCTGTTGCTTGTGGGTGGCCTCGGTGGTGCAGAGTACCTGCCTTCAGCTTCAGCTGGTTGCCCAGCAGTGCCCCTATCTAGACAGCAGTAGCCTAACTTCTGCCATCTATGCTCTGATAACCTCTAGATAAGATTACTGCTATGCACGGGGCTGAAGATAGTTTGTAAACTTCAGGCGGTGCAGAATTCAGCAGCCAGGTTGCTCATCAGGGCAAGATGGTTTGAGCATATAACTGGCTTGACTGCACTAGCTGCCAATTAGTTTCCAGGCCCAATTCTGGAAGTGGGTTTTGACCTATAAAGCCTTAAATGGCTCAGGACTACAATACCTCAAGGACCACCTCTCCCCATATGAACCAACCTAGGCCCTGCGATCATCATTGGAGGCCCTTCTTCATGTGCCTCCTCCATGAGAGGTCCAGGTGGCGGCAACACAAGAACAGGCCTTTTCTGCAGTGGCTCCCCATTTGTGGAATGCTCTCCTAAGGGAAGCATGCCTGGTGCCTTCACTACGTACATATTTTAAGGCACTGTGTGAAAATCATGCCTTTGGTTGATTAACATTCTATGTCCTTTTAAATAATAATAATAATAATAATAATAATAATAAAGCCTTCACTTAATGCATATGTATGCTTATATCTCACCAAATATTTTGTTCATCCAGCTCACATTTCCTTTTCTCATTCTCACACTATAACTAAAATTAACTTAGATGATGAGAAAAAGTTTAGATCAATAGCACATTTCCTGGTACTGGCAGTAGGAAACTGCCAACATCTATTGCCTGGGAGACAGAACATGATGGTTTAGCTAAGGAGGAAGAGAAAAATAGTGACACTAGGTGGAATTTTTAAGACTATTGAGAAAGGAGAAACAGCTGTTGGAACATGGTGTTGGGAAAGGCAAGGGATGAGGAAACTTGTTGATCTCAAGCCTTTTGACTGTATGTACATATCAGCTTAGGACATTTGGCCACTTTTGCAGACATGACTTTGTAAAAGTCTTCCCACCTCTTGCACTGAGCTTCAAATAGCCTCACTGAGGTGGCAACTTATAATTCTTTTCTTTTAACACAGCACAATACATTGAAAGTTACACCATATTCTATGCTATACACTGCACTTTATTACACACAATATAAATTTCAGGCACACAGTCCTACTTTTAACAATTTAAATGCCTACACCAAGTAGTTCCCATGATCTCATATTAAAATTGTGCACTTTTCTCCTTTAATTAAAAGAGAAGTCAAAGGACCAGATGTCATTTTGACTTGACTGCTGAGTTCATTTGACATCTTCTCTCTAGGTGGTGGTTGATAAATCTGTATACAGCCGATCTAATTAAACTGAAAGTTACACAGCAGTCAGAAAAAGGCACAAAGACAAACATGAAGAATGACTGTCACTATGAGTCAGGCTAACATTTTCAAGTAAAACAAAGCAAACTTTTCCCCTCTTTTACTTTGGCCAATAGTGAGAGACTGCTTGGAACATAATCAGTCTTCACAAATTAAAAGCTTGTAATAACAGATGCCAAACTTTTCTTTAAAAAATCTTTTGGTAAGTGGCAAGTTCAAAGAGTGAGAAAACAATCGCCAGAGCCATCCAGCAATCATTACTCAGTCTCAACTTCTATTGATTTCAAAGAGTTCTGCTTGAGTAGTGACTGAAGGAGTGAGACCTAAAATGAGATACTGTTGTGTGTTTGAAGAGAAAGAAGATACCTTTCTTCCAGGAATTATCCTTAATAATAAATCCTTTTACTTCCCATGGATTTTTTAGCTAGTATGGCATGCTTATTGTTGTTCTTTAATTAGGTCCTAGTCACAGTTGAAAATGCTCTGTGATTCTTCTTTGGGAATGGCTATACAGGCAGAAGACTTGTAGTGGTTTATAAATACACACACACACCCCATCTTGAAACATCTAACTGCTGACAATAAACCTGCTATAGAACATATACCACCCATTATTTCTACTATCATTCATCAACGTATTTTCGTCAGCTGACAGTACTGTTACAGGAGGATCATATATTGCTAGTTGAAACCTCAAAAGGTTGCATATATAATTGTCAACAGTGTTTCACCAGCCCATAGAGCAGACTGGACTCAGACTTGCTGCATGATCCTATCTTTGTACATGCTAGCAGTGGCGTAGCGTGGGTTGTCAGCACCCGGGGCAAGGCAAGTAATTTGCGCCCCCTAACCCGTGGATTTGCGCCCCCTAACCTGTGGATTTGCCCTAAAACCAGATGTTGTGCCCGGTGCGGCCGGCCCCCCCTGCACTCCCCACGCTACGCCACTGCATGCTAGACAGAACAGAAATCACGCCAAATTCCCTTGTACTTGCAGAGCACTAACCACATCACTGGAAAAAGTTACACCACATAGCAATATATTTGGGCTGGTGGAATTGGTGGAACTCTGTTAATGTAAGAGTTGGGTGTGTGGAAGTGGAAAAGTTGAAGGTAGTTGGGATTTTATGCTTGCTTGGGTATCAGTCCCATGATAGTGTAATATTATGTCTCCAAAAAAGATTGCATAAGTTAAAACACTACCACTGGAAAGCAATAGATGATTGCCCCTCCCTTTATTCAAAACAGCAGACTATAAGATTACAATCAAGACACAATTCTGGTTAAATATAAGCTCACACAAAGGAACACAGTTCTGATATATCAAGATATGCAACATGGCTCTTTGCCCAAGTCTTCACAAGTAGAGACTGGTGATGAGGAACTTTGATGATGAGGAACCATGTACAAACAACAAGCACCCAACAGCTAAGGGGAACAGATGAAACCTTCTTATTCTCAGATAACTTACAAGTCCCCTACTTTAGGCTCCAGATAACAACACCCAGCAGACATAGCAATTGTGATAACTATTAATGAAAAAGCAGGGAATTAGCCTGAGATGTGCAGAATGTTAAAAGCATCTCAGTGGTAGCATGTTGTTGTTACTAATTCACCAGCCTAGGTGAGCACCTGCTTACAGGAATCATTTGTTGCAGCCACATTCTTTCATTCATCCATTACCTTTCCTCCAAGGAGCTCCAAGCAGTGTGCATGGGTCTTACCATATTAGACTGAGATGGAAATGACTAGCCTAAGGCTACCAAGTGAGCTTCATGGCTGTGTTGGACAGTCTCTCACCACAGGTAGGCTTTCAACAAATAAAGAATATTTTTATTTGGTAAATTAGTGTTGCTAAACCATATTTTAAAATGACATAGATTATTTAATTTAAAGATTATGTTTGCTAAGTTTTTGAAGCCTAATTAAACTGGCTGCTGTTGTATGTAATATTTTATGTTGGTTCTTAAAGTTCTATTGCTTTTCTTTTTTTGGTTATATGCACACTAATTAATTAATTAATTAATTAATTAGTTCTTATAAAGAAGAAAATTTAAAAATCCAATTCTTAATATAATAATTGTGGCTAGGTTGTGATAGCACCACCTTTAACAACAGCTGCAGCGGGGGCGGGGGGCAGACGATAATTATGAATTATTATTGCACTGAAGGCACCAGCAAGGGGGAGGGGAGAGGTCCCAGCCTGCTCTGTTCCAATTAAGTGATAATGAATGATAATGAATCTAGCAGTTGGGCTGCATTAAATGGAAAAGGGGAAATCACAAGGTATGCTAGGAAAACTGCCAGAATCTTCTAGTAATCAAACCAATTAACAGAGGTGGCATGGATGTGTGAAATGAAGAATGGGCAAATCCTGGGGCACAAGTACCATAATTCCTTCAATGGGTTTGTTCTTAGAATTTTAGGGTTGGAAGGGATCCCAAGAAACATCTAGTCCAACCTCCTGCAATGCAGGAATCTCAACTAAAGCACCCAAGACAGATGGTCATCCAACTTCTGCTTAGAAACCTCCAAGGAAGGAGAGTCCACAATCTCCTGAGGGAGTCCGTTCCACTGTCGAACAGCTCCTCCTGTCAGAAAGTTCTCCCTGATGTTTAGTCGGAATCTCCCTTCTTGTAACACGAAGCCATTGGTTCGAGTCCTGCCCTCCAGAGCAGGAGAAAACAGGCCTGTTCTCTCTTCCATGTGATAGCCATTAAGATATAATTATATTGATCAATTCATATATATTCGAATCCCCGCGACGGAGTGAGCTCCCGTTGCTCAGGCCCTGCTCCTGCCCACCTAGCAGTTCGAAAGCACGTCAAAGTGCAAGTAGATAAATAGGTACCACTCCAGCAGGAAGGTAAACGGTGTTTCCGTGCGCTGCTTTGGTTCGCCAGAAGCGGCTTAGTCATGCTGGCCACATGACCCGGAAGCTGTACGCCAGCTCCCTCGGCCAATAGAGCGAGATGAGCGCCACAACCCCAGAGTCGGTCATGACTGGACCTAATGGTCAGGGGTCCTTTATATTGACCCAAAGCAATAAGCATTTCTTTAGTGTACTGTAATTATAGCATTTCAAATATAAACCACCACATTAAAATGGACGCTTCCACCATCATGCTTGTTATTCACTATTTGAGATCGAAACTGAACTGCATCCACTGTGAGCAAAGCTATTTTGTAACTCACCAGCCCAGTGTTTGCATCACATTAAACTCTGATTTAAAACAAACTATGGGTTAATGTGAACAAGCATTGTGCTAGTGAACACTGCTCAAAAAAATACTGTAGCACTTCTGCTATGCCAGAGATGAAACGAGCCAGAATTTGGCTTGTTAGGTCATCCAAACCTGGGCTTGACTTGAACCTTGATTACTGCTCAGTTTGTTTGGACAGAATCAAATGATGAGCCTGGATTTAGACAATATGACATGTCAGGCTCTGGCTTGTGTTGTCTGTGGCATGGCAGCGACAGGAGATGAGCACTGGTTCAACACTTGTTCAGATGAAGCCATAGTATGCTTTAAACTAGGGCCTAATGCAACATGCAAACTAGATCACTGTATTATTACAGTCCCATTTGAATGTCTGCTGCCTCCTCCTCCGACGTTCCATCTTAAGATTGACTGAAATGCAGACTTGATCCATGGCTTTAACATCAGCCAAAATTTTTCACTGCCATCCTTTGCTTTTTAAAAACCAATTAACATAATGAGTTCTGGAAAAATTGAAAGCTTGTGTGCTATTTAAGAAGGGTTTGGTTGGCTAAATAAAAGTATCACCCTAATGTGGTTTTAGGAATTTTTCATATGGGCAAACACCACCTCGTTTGCTTTCTGTATTTTTAGGCGTCTTCACCCAAAAGATCAGTTTGCAACTTGTCTGCCATCCAACTATTTTTGCCAAATACATACCCCAAAGTGCTGCTTATTTTGTACAATGCAACAGGCAAGAAGAAACATGCAAAATCTTCCATTTTCTTTCCTTCGCTGCAATATTGGTCACTTAAAAACAACACACAAACATGGAAACACAATTTCTTCTCGCTCTCCAATATCAAACACTCACTGCAACCTTCAGGACTGCCTTGTTTCAGTAAACCTTGGCCTGGTAAGAACTCTTTGGTCAAACTACATCTGGCCTAAACTCTTACGAATCTGTGACAACTGTTTTCATGAGGTGTCATTTATTTTGTATACAGATTAGGGAAGTACTCATTGCATGCTAAGATAGAACATAGCCATTATGCCCAGGAATTATTTGGAGGCAGTATGGGGAATCACAAGTGGATAGACTACTGCTGTACCCAGTTCCTACATGCAGAATTATCATAGACATCTGGTTGTCCAGTGTGAGAACAGGAATCTGGACTCAATGGGCCTTTGACCTGATACATCAGAACTTCTTAACCTAAACCTGGTCCTCAGATATGTCAATTTTAGTAGACACCCAAGTATATTTCCAGGTTAATTGATATAACAGCCATGTTCTTAGGACTAGAAAGAGCCACTGTAGAAACTGAGCTTGAGGTTTTGTAAAAACCCTATACAGTGGTACCTCGGGTTAATAACTTAATTCATTCTGGAGGTCAGTTCTTAACCTGAAATTGTTCTTAACCTGAAGCACCACTTTAGCTAATGGGGCCTCCTGCTGCCGGTGCGGCGGAGCCGCACAATTTCTGTTCTCATCCTGAAACAAAGTTCTTAACCTGAGGTACTATTTCTGGGTTAGCGGAGTCTGTAACCTGAAGCGTCTGTAACCTGAGTTACCACTGTATCTGTTAAGTTTGAATGATCCACAAGGTTTTGGGGAAGTACCCCCATTTCAAAAAGATGCAATGCAGTATGGTATATCTATACAGTGCCTATATCCCTGGTTTATTAGATCTGGTAACACCAGCCTTTATTTGTACAAAACATAGCAGAGGAAAAATTGCTTCAACAGATGACTGTCCATGGTATATTTAAATCAAGGAGGATTATACTCCAAGACCATCTCAATTTTCGTGTAACCTGTCAGTTTTTATTACTACACCTCCTGACTAAAACACCCATCTCAAATGCTTCTCTGGCATAAAAGGACCATATCATTGGCATAACACAGAACTGAAAATTGTTGGCTGTTGAGCTTGAAAAGGAAATATAAGCATCATGGTTAAGAACCAAAACTGCATAATATGTAATATGGCTCAACACTTCCCAGTCTTAGGTATGTGCAACTCCTCTCATCACTTTTTCTTGGAAGTCTGTGGCCAGGCTGAATCAGAAGCATTACATAAGGGTCTGAAATCAATAGGACCACTGTTCTTAGCATGGCTGAGTCTTCACTGAAGGCATCCAATTTGAGGCACCAAGAGGAGTCAGAGGAAAAAGAGACAATGAGATGATTTACGGGAGGTTTTTGTACAGAATATTTTTATTCAGTGCTTTCAGATATCCGAACCTTTACCGTGTACTTGTTACAAACATATACAAAAAATAGTTTCCTCAGCTGAGAATTATTCTGAAGTTCATCTTTAAACTGTTAAATAAAAACTGAAAGCATTACCTATGAAATACCACACATAAATAATAAAGGTAAAGTCCATTTGTGAAATACGAGTTTGCTTCACTCATCTATCTCCTCTTCTTACAGGAAGACAGAGATGCATAATGCACTCTCCTTGTACTATTTCCTAAAGCGTTTGAAAAGGGGATGGACGTGTTTATTTGAGGAGGCCCTGCTTCGTGAGGCTTGGTATTCCATGTAAACTGTATCATCTGCTCCAGACATAGAGCTCATTGTGCCATAGTGCCGGGAAACCTAGAAAGAGAGAGGATAAGAATTTAGTAAAATCTACCGTCTAAGGCAGAGCCTGCAACCCTTTTTCACACAGGCGTCTCAACTGAGCGGAGTGTGCCTACACTTGAACAGCTGCTCCCATGTGGAAGTGGAGAGGCTAGGACCAGCAGAAAGTGAGGTGTCAGGGCAGCAATGTCTGTTCTACATATGAAACCCCTACATTCATATGATGTGTGAACAAGATTTGTGATAGTTACACACACACACGTTTTATTTTCGGAGCTAGGTTGTGTCCCCTCATAATCATTCACCACCTGTATCATGAAAGAAACTCCCTCCTTTTATTCTTTCTTGCAGGATGGACAGGAATGGGGGAAATAACGTTCTACTTCCTTTCCTCTCATTCAACATGGAAGCCACTGAAGCAGGTAGAGGCGGTGGGTGTGGTGAGCGGCGTTGAACATTAAATTCCTCTTTGCTCCACATCAAACTTGACAGGCTACCATGATATCCACTTGCCTGAGATGACTTTGAGCCGTACTCTCCTGCAACCACCTCTTCCTCAGCATCCATATCTGATGCTTGCAAAACCTTTTGGAGGAGCTGCTGCTGATCTTCCTTGGATGAAAACATAAGCTCTTCCTCCTCCATACCTGCAAGTTTAGTGATCACCTGAGACACAGGAAGGAAGAGAGATGTTACTTTCCTCAGTGTTCACATACAGAAATTAACTACGCCTCTCATAGTGAAGCTTATGGATGCGGCATTGTACTGTCATTTGTAGGATGCCTATTTCACAATCTGAGGAAATAATGGGCCGGGGTGATACAGTGTTTAGCAGAAGAATCCCTGACTGGGCTGGCTGAGGCTGCTGGAAGTTGTAGTATAACATCTGAAGGGCACTATTTTGGTTACCCCTGCGTTACGGAATTGGACTAAGACTGGGGAGTGCCAGAGTTCAGATTCCCACATAGACATGAAGCCCACTGGGTGACCTAAGGCCTAACCCCCTCCACCCCACTCTCTATTATCCAGCCTATTTGGTAGGATAATAGAGGAGAGCTGTACATGTTGCCTTGAGCTAATTCAAGAAAAGAGCAGGGCGTGTGTGTAATAAATAAATTCTACTGTAGTTTGTATCAGTAATAGTGCAACTTCTAAACAATTAACTATTAAATAACCAAGGTGAAGCAACATACTTGATGTGATTGTTGTTCCACCTTTATCTCTTTATGAGCAACACAGAACCAGAGATAATAAAGTTAGTGCAGTGTTACTGTGTTTCTAAGTTGCAGCGTTGTTGATCCACAGAACACTCAGGTGCTAGTCACTGTAAAAAATATTGCAAGTTATTGGGGGACAAAATTACCTTAAAGCTGTAGCCTTGATCTACTAGAAACCGTTGACGTTTGGTTGAGTATGCCATTTCTTGAGTGTCCTGGGAGACCAGGGAATAAAAGAAGGCATTGTACTCCTCTGCAACCATTCCTAGAGAAGTAGTAGGACATAAAAGCACATCAGGACGTCAAGAAACAAACATTTTGTAGTTATCTTACTGCCATGTCAGCAGCCTACGATCACTGATAATCAAGTAAACCACCAGCTGCCAATTCAAAAGCTGCAGTTAGGCAAAGGAAAAGAGCTCCCCTCAGATGGGCAAAAGTCCCAAGTGGTTATTTAAGCTCAAAGCACCCTGGTCTCTCTAAGTCAACTGGGCAGGAGCCAGGTTTCCTTCTGCCACCCTCCATTCAGCGTTTGCAGTAATTGCAGAATCATACCCTTCTGGTGTGTAGTGCACAAAGAATATTTCACATCAATCAACCTATACATGTCATATATGAAATCAGTGGTTTTTTGTTTGTATGTTCTGCATACCCAATATTTCACTTGAGTGGCTAGGATTATATTAGGATATGAGGTACACCAAAGCTATAAACCAAAGACACAACGCCGTTAGAATTCACTCCATAAGATCATGTAAAGCAAGTTAAAATACAACCCTCTACTATAAGCGGTAAAATTCAGCTATTTGGTATTAGCAACTATTCTTATGTTTCACATTTATTCTGATGTTTCCTTTCCCCCTAACAATGCCTTCATTTGAAAGAAACACACACACATCAATGTAGGCAGGAATTCTTTATTCCATGCAATTACTTCCCATTATCCCTATGCTTAAACACTGGATAATTCTAATCTCCCCCAATCCAATGATATCTGTCGGGAAGAGCATGAGATTCTTAATCTCAGGGAAGTGGGTTTGAGCCCCATGTCGGGTGACAGATTCTTGCACTGCAGGGGGCTGTACTAGATGACCCTTGGGGTCCCTTCCAAACCTACGATTCTAAGAGCCGGGTGCCATTACTGCCAACAGCACACTGCCACATGCATAGAGCCCTTTGCCGGTCAAGGTGTTAAAAATAATCAGCAATGCAGCAGGAAGCATGTTCATCCAAGCCCCAAATCCTATGCCAAGATCCTAGTCCTATGCAACAGACACACCTTAGAACTCTAACACAGCTGCCTTGGAAGTTCAGTAAGAACAATTAGAACAGAGCCCCTTGAGCACAAGGCTTGCAAAAGTGTCTCTTTACAAGACATACAAAATGCTAATGCTAAGTGTCATGTGAGGAGCGATTAGGCAAGAAAGACAAAGGGAAAGATGGCCCCCTACTGCAGCACGTTTTAGAACTACCCTTGAATTTTGTTTTAACCTGTGACCTGGAGCTGACAGTGACAAACTAGCACAATGGCAAATTGTACATGCTTAGCCGGCTACATGAGTTGACTTATGTTACTTTCATGCTTGAGTGTCCCATTAAAACAGAAGACTTTCAGGGGCACAGGCCTTGAGTTACCTTTTTTGGCTCTCAGCACTCGACCCAATCGTTGAGCCTCCTGCCTTCGAGACCCGCCGTGGGACGAAATCTGAATGAGGACATTGGCTTCTGGCAAATCAAAGGACGTGTCTCCTACCTACAACACAGAAACAACCTCTTAACGAATGTGTTGTTTCAAGCATTGAAAATAAAAACAAACAACTCTTTAACAAGCAACGCGGATTTGTGGGCTACAGTAAATAAATAATTCTGTCAACATTATAGCCGTTTCACAGGCTGCTCAAAATAAGGTGTGTAACATCTCAAGCCAATTTGGTAACTAACAGATCGCTTTCCATTACCTTTGAAATAAAGATGGTGTTGATTTTGGGGTTATGTTTGAAATTCTGTAGGATCTGCATTCTTTCCCCCTGTGCTGTAGGCCCATATATATAGGGTCTAAATAGAAAAAAGGGACACAAAAAAATGTAATGAATTGGTGTCGCCTTCTGTCCCATGAACTCAGGTATGTAGAACAGGCATTACGAAGCCTCAAAAACCACGGGAATTTTAAAATAAATCTGTTTCGCATATTTTTCACATTCCATTCAAAATACAAAAACACTTTGCTTTCCTTGCAGCATTCTTTGCCGACTGCACTGAGGACCCACCCGCCTGAAGATAAACCCATTCTTCCCGACACCCCTTCCAAAGAAATAAATCCAGACAGTTGTAAATGTTATCCGCTTGATGTGTGCCTCCTGACTCAACAGATCAGTGGGCTGAATTTATCTGCTAATCCTACATGAAAGGATAGCAGCAGCTGTTAAAATAAAAAAAGGTGTTTTCTTTTGTTAAATTCACTGAGTTAGCACATTAACAGCTGTGTCCTCCCTTCCCCCTTCCCACTCGTGTCCTTGCATAACAAGCTGCCCCTGTGGATTAATTTTTTTTCTGGGAGCGTCCCTTTGTGACAGAGTACCCAGGTTGCTGAGCCTAAAGAGCTTGGTCAAGAACTGCAACCAAAGAGACTGTTTAGGCTTTACAGAAGTAAAACCATCTAGGGAGGAAGAAATGTCTTGTTTACTTGGCCAAAAAGAAAAAGAAGAAGAAGAAACCACACAAAAGAGCAGCCATATTTTTTTACAAAACCAAAGGAAGAGAGAGAAAAAGGGAAATATACAACACATCTGAGAGAATATATGGATTTCAGTTTCTTGGTAGATTCAGATTCACACAGGCCAGGTTCACATGCAGTGCCAAACAATGCTTAAGACTATGCAGATTTGTTGTCTAGCTCTCTCCAGACAATGTATGAGTTGCAAACCATAGAGCTGACCTTGGTTCCAGGTTGTGGTTTGTCTGGAAGAGAGCTAAACCACAAACCATAGTTCAAACAACATACTAAGTGAAACCATGGCCTGACATAGTAACCAGATGGTTGCAGGGAGGGAGAATGGTGGCTTCAATCTCTGCTCTTTGCTTGTTCATGCTAAACCATGGCTCGGCTTAGCATGACTTGAGAGTGAGGGCACAGTATCTCCCAGCTACCATGAGCAATTTCCCAGTTTTGTGCAGTAACGAGCACCACTCGACACAGTACTTCTATGGTTCCTTAGACAGCATTTTTGTACCTGTACATTAAACAGTATACCCTGTCCTGAGGCAAAGAGGAAAGGTGATTTGTAACTATAGAAACAAAAAAGCATGTGGTAAAACTTGCTCCCGCATTGCTATTATGCTTATATTCATCAGCAAATATTGGCAAAGCGACTATCACTGGGTTGGAAATAATGAACTGGTAAGTTTCAGAATGTAGGTCAATTCAAAATAAACAACCTTAAGCAGCTGCTCTACCAGGTCAGACACTGGTTGTGTTTGGCTTTAATGATAGTTTATCATTAAAGGAATCAGCTGAAGTGAAGCGGGGTCTCTTGTGCTTTTGCTCTCCTTCTCCTCTTCCAGCACAATGACAGGCAGGTGGGAAGCTCTCCCTTCCATTTTTTATTAACTGCATCTTGTCATTACGTCCGAACTTGAGCACACTGTGGTTAATCTTAACTACGGTTTGTGGAATCAAGTCAGCTTCAAATGATGGGTTAGGACCCAAGTTGTCTTGGTCTCAGCTTGTCCATATGCAAAAGCTCCCGTCTCCTCCTCGCAGCTGTGCCAGAAGAGTACGCAATCCAGAGCCTCACCGTAACTCACTCCAATAATAAAAAAACCCAGTTTTTCTTTACATCTTAATGAAACCAATTGGACATCTAGCCTAGCATTGTCTGCTTTGATGGTGGCTCTCCAGGGACTTAATTTCTTCTGCCTCATCTGGTCCCTGATATTTTTAAGTGGCGATGTCAGCGACTGAATCTGAACTTTCCAAATGTAAAGCATGTTACCATGACTGAACTACGGCTCCTCCCTAAACGTATCTGATGTGACTTATTTGAATAAGTTTCCAACTGTCCTCACAATTCTCCACATAAGATAAACCCCTTTTTAGAAGTCTAGAACAGGAATTTCAACCTGGGAGTAGTTAAAGCAACATTAAACAAGTTCTGTTGCTCTCTCTGAGCAACACTTTTGTCCAGTCAAGCCCCACACTGTTGAACATTTCTTAATAAAATCTCATTTTGTTCAGTTTAAAGTTTATGTAGGTATCCAGTTCTGCTCCTGCAGAAGAGCCCACAGGGTATGGCGGGTCAGTGTCACAGTTCTGCCAAGAGCTCCGACTGAGCAACTTCCTCTGACAGGGAGCGGAAGTGAGCGGAGGCCTTCGAAGTCTTGGCCTCCAGTCCACTACTCCTAGGCTCCATCGCTTTTTGGGAACAAAAGGCCAACACTTGGCCTGAAATCAGGTATTTATCCCACACTTCATGGCCTCCTGGTGCGCTTCTTGTGCTGTTGAATTGGTGAAGTACTTTGTGAGGCCCTTGGTTCCTCCAGGGGAAGGCACCTTTAAAGGTCCGGACTCTGGCTCTATAGGCCCTGGTACTGTGGGAACTGGCTCAGTGTGCTCCACTCACAAATGGTGTTGGATACAATCTCTTAATTAGAATACAATTTTACATATGATCCAAGATTTGAACCCTTCCTCCAAATATTGCTTCTGCAAATTGTATAGATGTTTATAACACTCTCTTGCTCCCCATCACTATAGTTTGTTTTTTAAGAGGAAGGAGAATTAGCAGAAAAACCAAATGCCATTTTTGACAGCACTGGGAAAAGACTAAGTGAGTCAATGCTGTTCACCATGCCATTTTACTGTGGATATGAAACATATGGGCAAGCATAACACATATATTCATGTTTACCCTTCATTCAATACTTACTTGCCCAGCCTAACTGCATACTCCTTCAAAGCAAACACATTGTCGGCAAAGACTATGATTTTGTCATTCCTTCGCTCATGAAACTTAATCAGGAACTGGCAAGCCCTGAATTTGTTTGGGTTCATTGTATAGAGCAATATCCTCTTCTTTGTTTTAATAGCCACATACTCTCTGTAGAACTCAGGAGACATTGGGCACCATACCTATGTTTAAGCCAAATAAAACTAAGTTAGATTCCAGTCAGAATATTTCTGTAAGATATTTCTCAGAAGAGAACTATGATAAAAGTCTATAAGGTTATGCTGTATGATAAAAAAGGATGAAGGGACTACACAGCACCTCAACAAGAGCAGACATTTACAACATAAAAAGGATGTTTGTGAATTTTTTAAAGGACACCTAAAAAGAGGAAGAAAAATTATTCACTGCATCCCCTGGACAACATAACACAATGCATTGTGTCTAAAGCAGCACTTGTAAAAGGGAAATTTGCTCTCTGCTTCGCACTGCAGCCCCCCGCACCCCACCCCAAGTCCTTTAGTGAGGGTCAAGAATAGAGAGAGGGAAAATCGGAGAAAATTGGTAGAGGCAGCTTGGTTGGATGGGAGCCAAACCTAGCGTGAGCTGAGGATGGATGACTCACCTGTGCATCCTCTCACACTGCTACCTCTCAACATGTGAAGCAATGCTTAATAAAAATAAGAGAAATGTGTGATGTCACACTCCCACCCCCCCAATATGGGGTGGACTACTTTTAGTGATATTTCTAGGTTCGGGTACTTTAAGGCCTCTGGGTCACCCTGCCAGATTATCCAGTATTCTCTTTTTAAAATAAATGTTATTTTCCGTTTTTCAAAAGTTGACAAATACACACCTTACAAACACATACCTCTGATACAATTGCATATCTGACTTCCCTCACCCAGTCTTTTGTGGTTCCTTCTCTAATTTAGATTGTATAACACTGCATTTTCCACTTTACTCCATTTTTTTGGTTATTCTTCCATTTATCTTAGTACAATTTTAATTGCTTGGTTTAAATTAATCCTACTAATGAACACGCTTGTATGCCAGAATTTTTAAAATATTCTACAATTTCCCCCCACTCTTTAAGATTCCCCCCCCCCCCGGTTTCTTATTACACCTGCCAGTTTTGCCATTTCAGCATAATCCATCAATTTAATCAGCTGCTCTTCCTTAGTTGGTACAGCAAATTCTTCCCACTTCTGGGCAAATACCATTCTGGCTGCAGTTCATCCACTATTCTCACCCTTATGAGCAGTAAACCTCGTGCAGCAGTTCCTGCCATCCATCTCTCTGGTTTCGAGTTAACAAGAAATAGTTCAGCTCACATTCCCCAAACACAGCAGTGCCTGATCATGCAATGGGGCGCTGCCCTCTGCTGTTGCTGAGGAGAACTGAGCGTTTCAAAGCAGACTGGTTATTTCACATGGTAAAAATGGGTTAACTCAAAATGCAACTTGCTGAGAGAGGATTTTTATATACTGTCTATTTGCAAGACGAAAGCTCTCTTCAGGCATTCTTCTTCTGAACTAAGCAAACGCTTGGGGGTGGGGAAAGAGACACAGAGATGAATGTATTAGTTTTCCCCCTCCAGCAAATTAAGTAGGGACAGTAGCATACTCATCACTGCTGCCACCCTCCATGGTGCTTTTTTAACTCAGAAGATGAATACCAGAAAAGGGCTTTAGTAAGGCGGATATATATAAAAATCCACTGTAAGCAAACAATTGCTCAAGAGTGCTTAAGACTGTAGCATTTGTAGCATCTTCATTTTTCAGCTGTGTGGCAATAGCTAAAAAGCTAACAGATTTAATACTGGGAAAACTTGCCATGATTTGTATCAATCCTGTTTCCTGATTTTAAATTCTATGATAGGGGAAAACTCATTGCAGAATAGGAGCATTATAACCCATATACCCAATAATAGACATTTCAGAGTTTTAGGTTAGAAAAAAATAAATTGATCTACAGAAAAAGCAATTCTGTGGCTACTCTGAATGTTTAAGAACATAATCAGGAGTCCAGGGAAGAACAACAGCTTTAAGGAGCAAGGTATAATTTACCTCAGCACACTGGACTTTTGCAATATAGCCATTGTTCTGCAGCTCCATCCAATTGGCTTCATACAGTTTAGGCCCAATGAGGAAATTCAAGTCTACGATTTTGTCGTCTTCTCTGACGAGAGTAGCTGTCAGCCCAAGCTTGCAATGGGCTTGAACAATGGTCAGCACACGCCTGAACATTTTTGCTGAAGAATCACAGAAGAACAGATTATGCTTTGATTTCAAAAAGGGACATTTAAAAAGGCATTCAAGCTGGAGCGCCACATTTATTTTTAGAGCTGTAAGTAACATGAAACGGTTTGGCAAAAATATGTCTATTTCAAAGAGCCACATTAGATTAGATTAATTTTTTTTAACCAGGTGGGTTTAGTTTTACTCTAGTCTTATTTTTATGCTCTACAAGCATTAATCAAATCAAAAGTAAGCAGCCTCTTTATAATTTTTGAAGTTGAGAAAACTAGGGACAACCTACAAGATGGGAATTAAATCTGCTATGCTTAGAATTCCAGGCTGCAATTCTATATGTACTTCCCTAACTGTAAGTCTGTTAAACTTAGTAGGATACTTCCAAGTAAATATACACAGACCACATCCTTAGTATATTAATTGCTTAATAAAAGAAGAATTCCCAGTTGCAAAATCATATCATATTTCGGGGGGGGGAGTCCATCCTAGTATGGAAAAGTGAGCACATTATTATAATTTTAAAAATAAACAGAACAATATTAAATTTGGTAAGAAAAAGTATGCTTTTTAAATTGTATTTATTTATTCAAGGGGGTTTGAAAACCCAATATTTTTAGTGAGATGGTTTGTGATTCCACCCACCCCTAGTCCCGCATTTTAGAGGTGAAATCTCCAAGTTTTGCAATAAGTTTAGCCCATGTCTAAATCTAAATGTCATATAGTGAACCATACTGGGTTTTCACTCCCTCTCCACTTAAGAATAATGAAAAGAGAGGCTACAAAGCAATCACAGTCAAGTAGTAGGCATTACAAAAAACACAGCTCCTACTTGTTTTGAGAAAGCTCACAAAGCAGTTTTAAGGGCAACTAGCAGCACTGCAATATGCTCCACCCATGTTAGGGTTCCGAAACATGTATTAATTTTTGAAGCCAGATGACAGCCGTACCTTGGACCCCAAAAGCCCTGGAACTTGGATGTTTTGGCTCTGGAACACCGAAAAACTGGAAGTGAGTGTTCTGGTTTGGTAACGTTCTTTTGGCACCCAAACATCCGGCGGGGCTTCTGCAGCTTCTGATTGGCTACAGGAGTTTCCTGCAGCCAATCGGAAGCCACACTTTGGCTTCCGAACGTTTTAGAAGTCAAATGGACTTCTGGAACGGATTCCATTCAACTTCCAAGGTACGACTGTAGTACTGGATTTAAGACCTGGGGCAAATGAGATTGTTCACAGACATGGGCACGGTTCGTTTACCAGGGATGGTGTGCACTTCGTCGAGGATCATAAGGCCCCACTCTTGACTCTTCAGCCATTCCATTACTTTTTCTGCCTCCCACGACCTCTTGGTTGTGTGCCCCAACATGGAGTAAGTGCTGATAGCGATGGAGCAGCCAATTGGCTTGTCTTTGGCATCAGAAGTAAATCGGCAGATCTGGCTGTCGTCTATGGTGGACCACATTTTGAACTGGGCTTTCCACTGCTCTACAGAGACGGCGGAATTGCCCAGAATCAGGCACCGTTTGCGGACCGTGGAGGCAGCTGTGACTCCTACAAGTGACTTGCCAGCACCTGCAGTGGACAAAAAGACGGGAAGTTGTCAAAAATGTGCCTGAAACACACCACAGCTCAAGGTGCGGTAGGATCCAGAATAGAAAGCACACAAGACCCCAGAGAGCTGCATTCTATCAAGAGAACATCTAATAAAGTGGTCATATGAAAAGGCACTTGTGATGCATGTCCTGTCTGTCACACAAATATGGAAAAGTTTAACTGGCACATCTGGCCCAGGTAACGCTCTTAAGACAAATGCAGTTGAAAGCTGTCGGATCAACTGCTCCAAGAGGAATGGAAAGAGACATTACAAGCACAAGAAATATACAGTGGTACCTCTGGTTACGTACTTAATTTGTTCCGGAGGTCCGTTCTTAACCTGAAACCGTTCTTAACCTGAGGTACCACTTTAGCTAATGGGGCCTCCCACTGCTGTTGTGCCACCGGCACACGACTTCTGTTCTCATCCTGAGGTAAAGTTCTTAACCCGAGGTACTATTTCTGGGTTAGTGGAGTCTGTAACCTGAAGTGTTTGTAACCTGAGGTACCACTGTATATCCATAAAAGTTCTGATTAATGATTGCTCTCCAGAAAAATAAACTCTCATTTAATACCCTGTGACAAAGCCTAAGCCAAAATCAGAGAATTTGAGAAAGCTTTTTAACTTAAACCCAGCCAACTCACCGCAAGGTAGGACAATAACACCGGATCTAGCACGGCCATTCCCAAACATTTTTCTCAAACTCTTCTCCTGGTATGGTCGGAGGACAGCCGTTGGCTTCAAGTCTATATTAATATCAGGATTCACCGAATCATTTCTGAAGTCATATTCAGCCAGTAGAGGGTATTCCAGATGGATACATCGCTTCTGAAGCTCTTCAATCATTTCCTTAAAAAAGAAGCAAGGGCAAAATCTTTTTTCTCATTTTGCTACTCTGCTATTCGCTGGGAGCTTCAGCTACAATCTTCCTGTAAGGCTTGAAAGAAGAATGTCAGGTTGCTATATCTGAAGCTTTTAATGTTTGACTGTGTGTTTGGTGGCTAGGGCGGCCCATCAAGACGGAGGGGAATTATTATTAGCTAGCACACAAACACACACACATGCTGCAACGCTTTGGGTATCATGGACTAATCTGAAAATGTTTCTCACATTTTATGAGCCACAACAAGAAAATCAATTCTCTCTTTTTAAAAATCACTCCTATGGTTTAATTTTCTAGAATATGTTTACATTTAGATACTTGATTGATGTTTAGAGCTCCAGCTGATGGGGATGCAGAAAGCACAGTTTTAATATCTAATCTTCATCCTGATCAACTTCTCAGGCTGAGTGCACACGAACATAAGGTAGCTTGTACTCGACGCTACTCAGGTTATTCAGGAGAAAATTCCTAATTTGCCCTATTCTTGAAACCAGAATAGTGAACAGTATGGCCAATGGTTAGGGATCATGGAAGTTGTAGTCCAGCAACACCTGGAGGGCCACAGGTTCCCTATCCCTGCTTGTGAAGGATCACACTCACTGAAGTCATGAGCTCAATCCAGAACTATTATCAGCTCTGCCTTCCCAATGGTACAGATAGCCATACAATTTCTATTCTATTTCTGTGGAAGGGAAGAGCAGTCACTATCAATGTTCACAGACCAAACTAAGCATGAATTAGGATATTCTCTTTGGAACAGAATGTGTGGCCTTGGTTCTTCCTCTGTATAGGTGTTGAAAGACCATTCAATATACTTTGCCGTGCTAAACTTAATAGTTTGCATTAACATGGCCAAGAGCCACTTCACCCTATCAGCTGCCAACAAAGCATCATACTACAACAGAAATCAGTTTCTAAGGAACATTTGGTCTTACTGGTTTAAAGTACATTGTTCTGCGGTCACACAAAACTGCCAAGGCAGTTGGCTGAAGTATGGCATGTAAAATTGAAGGTCACTGAAGGAGAGAAGGACCCACAGATACAACTGAGCCTGGGAGGAAGGAAAATGGCTCTTCAAACTAAGCAGCAAAGGGCTGACAACAACCATGGAGAACCATGTCCTGCCAAGTCATGCTGTTACTGCAAAACTGAATTAATTCATATTCAATATGCTGTGGCTAGGGTACTCCTCAATGGGGGTGCCATCAAATTTATGGGGGTTTTATTTGGTTTTTTTTACCTGTTTCACTTCAAAAGACACAGTCTGGGTTTCCTCCTCCTCCTCTTCATCCTTATCCATTTGTTCGTAAAACTCAAATAAGTCAGCAGGAACACCTGGTTTACCCTGAGCATCTGTCCCTTGCGACGTCGAAGGGCCACTGCCCCCTTCACTAGACTTGGCAATCTAGAACAGAAATTCATCAGGCTAGAAAGAGGCTTAAGTTCTATCAATTAGCTGCCGAGGACCTTGTAAAAGGCAACTACTGAGACAAGCTGTACTCCAATACAGGCTGCAAATAAGCAGGAACCCAACATCACTGCCATACAGCAGAGAGGAAAGCTGGCAGAAGAAGAGAAGTAGAGTGTCCCAGCGAAACGTGTAACCAACATGCCTCATGGCCCTCTCTGATACCTCCAATGGAGTGGGAAACTCAATGGGATGAGTACAGCAGGAAGGTAAGCTTTTCTACAGCTTCTAGTCAAGAAAGAAGGGGTCATATTACATAAAAGGTGGTCCAGAATCTCAACGTACAGCTGATTTACTCGTGAATGTTTCAGTGATGAGTTCAGTTTCTTCCCCTTCTGCATTCCTCAGCCGGCAGTCTCTAATAACTGGGTCCTGGAGAAGCTGCTGAATGACTTCAGGGTGGGTGCTTTCTACAAAATACCTAGGAAGTAGAGAAAAAGAGAGGGAATTCTATAAATTTCACAAATGTTAACAACATCTACCACCATTTTACAGAAGGTCTGCATTCACGGGGCATGTTGCTCCTCTGTATGACACACTTTGCTAGGATGCTGTGTCATATACTTTGAGGAGAACTGTGAAGTAATAGCACAGTTAATACTTGACAACAGTTTTTAAAGAGGCAGTGTGTTAAGAATATTGCTTCTCCAATCACACTGCTTTCTGCAATGGCGTTCTGTAACAGAAGATAATTCACTCAAGCAGCACCCCAGCCGAAACTCGGTAATCAGCTATTATTTGGGATTTGGGAATGGGTTGGGAAATAATCCCCTGCAACTCAAAAAGCAAAAACCTGCTTACCTGTTGTGCTTCAGGACCAGCTTTACCTTCCCATAGCTGACCGTACAAAGCTGCAAAACAATAATATGCATTGGAAACAACTTCTGAAGAAATTCAATTTGCATTATACACATGGCGAGAGTAATGTTGCAACTTATTTCACAAGATCACCAACAAGGCAGGCTACATGGTCAAGTTGCCTGAAACATGAAAGAGAACAAAGGCCTCACATTTTCAAAAAGTTAGTTTAGACCAGGGTTTCCCAAACTTGGGTCTCCTGCTGCTGTTGGACTACAACTCCCATCATCCCTAGCTAGCAGGACCAATGGTCAGGGATGATGAGAACTGTAGTCTAAAAACAGCAGGGAACTGGAAACCCTGGCTTAGACCATGGGCAGCCAGGCCCTCTCATCCTCAACCATCGGCCATACTAGCAGCAGCTGAAGGGAGTTGTTGAACAACATCTGGAGGGCACTATGTTGGCTACTGGAGATTTAGACAACTCCCACGGCCACATGAATCCTGCGCATCACACAGCAGGTTGCCCCACCTTCATTCCATGCCATGGCACCTACTGGCAATGAGGCAGTGCTCACTATGTGAAGGATAGAATGCACATGAGAAGTTCTCCTAAATGTTATGCCCAGGGGTGGAAGACAGACACCATGGCTTAGCCTCATGATAACCTGATAGCAAAGATCCGCTCTCAGCTTTGACCAGAACTAGCTTGCAAAATCCTGGCCGAGATTCACAGCAGCAAGTGGCTGTGCTTTTGCAGCATCCATAGAACATTGCTCCACGGAGCTACCTATCCACTTCTTCATGATGCCCGATCCTCAGTGTTTAGCTTCCTCCTTCTTTTCGCTGCTGTGCCCCACTTAAATGAGTGACTTTGGGACTGGCAAGTCTCCACCACTCATCTATTGAAGATCATGTTAAGTTGTGCACCGATGTTCTTGGGCAGCTCCAAGCACAGCAACGACTGCTGTTGTGTTGTTGTTGTTATATTATTAGTTTTAAAGTAAAACAAGCTGATAATGATTAACTGCTTACCTTGATAAACTGAACGATCCCATCTGGCACTCCAGTCTTACTTAGCTTCTGCAAATATTCGGTGATATCACTCGTTTGCAAGCCCACACTGACAGCAGCATAGAGGGAGTAAGCCGTCAACTTGTATTCATGGACATGGGTGGGTCGGCAAACAGGCTCAGCGATGGCGACTAGAAAATCCTGGGCATACTTGTAAACAGGTGAAAAGGCCTCGAGGAAAATATGGCCATCAGGGGCCTACAAAAAAGGCAAGCATCAATGGTAATAATACTTTTTATTATCTGCATGCTCATCATTATTAAAAGAATTTATTTCCCGCCCTCTTTTTTGAGAATACCAAGGCAGTTCACCAACAAATAAACCCAATGGCAACGTAAGAAGTATAAATCTGAATATTAAAAAAACCTATCCATAATTAAAATTCATAATAAAACAATTTCACCCAAAGCCAATTGTGTAGTGGTTGGAGCAGGAATGGAAAGACCCAGGTTCAAATGCCATGAAGCTTCACTTTGGGTGATTTGGGGCCACCATATACTGATGGCCTAGCCTACTTCACATGGTTGTTGTAAGGGCAAATGCATGTTGTAAGCATCCATGCATGCTACCCCGAGCTGTGAGCTCCTTGGAAGAAGGGGGGGGGAATGCCATCACTTTAAAAGAACTTAAAGGGTAACTTTTAAAGGCACATATATTATTCCAATCCATGAATATAGGTTGGGACAGTTCAAGTCAGTGCAAGAGCATAATAGAACAAGCACACGGGCTGCAATCTCCTCTCTGGGAACCTCTGTGTTCACACTAAGCCATAGTTTGGCTCAACATCACATGCAAACCAGCTCAGTATATATCCAAATACTTTGATACATTTCCTTTGCCGAAACATGAGCATTCCAAGTTCATGGAACTTACCACCCACAAGGGGCGTGAGGAATGATCAGCCTTTAAGAGCATCTGGTTCCTGTAGTCTTTCGCTCCATATTCATCTATTTTGTTTGAGGAATCTTCCACTTGCTTCCCTGCTGCCGAGGGAACTGCTTCCTGGGACTCTTTGCCTGAGATATCATATTCTTCTTCGTCTTCTTCCTCATAGTGTCGTTTCTTAGATTTCTTCTTATCTGAAAACCAAGGCCCAAGAGGTTTAAAACACACCCACAACTCAGAAAACGTTTTCCTGCTAAACAAATCACAGGCGCTGAATTTTACAATACTACACTGTCTGTAGAAAAACCCATATGGAACCTTTCTGCCCTTTCTCTATGAAGAATCTTCAGAAAAGCCAAAGTTGCTCCCTGAGCAACATTTGTTCCTCAGATCTATCCAGGCCTGACAGGGGTCCAAATTGACTGGGAAGGCTTTCCCACAAACTACGCCCAGCTACCGCCCCCCACCTGACAGAATACGTGGAGCAGGTTTAGCTGCTCCAGGGCAACTATTAGGACTAGACTTCCCTCACTTTGCATTCGCTTTTCTGTCTCATTGAGAAGGCATATGGCTATAGGATATTATCAGCCTTTCCTGTTATTAGGGCAAAATTAGATTCCCTACAATGAAAATATTTATAGCAAATGAATGTATAGCAAATAGCATCACATTCACATACTGAACGTGATGTGTAGCCTTAATGTGTTTCATGCTATTATTCTCTACATTCCAAGAAATGTCCATGTAAAAAAACCCAGAGCAAGAGATAAGACCCAAAACAGAGTGACGTACCCGATCGACAACTGCACACTCATTTGCTTTAAAAATGGAAGTAAAATGTGCTTGCATGCTAAGCACTGATAATATGTTTTCCTTCAAATGCACATATCTCTGCTTACAACTTCCATGGACTAATACGTCTCTGAAAGTCATGCCAGACAAGAGTTTTTTAAAAAAATAATTAGCAAGAGGCACAGACCGGGTTGTTTACACCGCCAACGCACAGTATGGAGAGAGAAGTATTCATTGGGCAGCAAGAGGAGTACCAGGTCAAATAAACCAAGACAAGTTGGCCCTCTAAAGCAGGAGTGTCAAACTCAAACACATCACTGAAGGACCAAGCTTCCAATCCAGCCAATTCTCAGGAGTCACACTCAAAACATTCCACCAGTGTTGCTCCAAAGATCTGTTCTCTCCATGCTCCTTGACGGCTATATTACTAATTTAAATGAACCCTAGAAGAGGCTAATGTTGAGACATTCAGTCAGCCCATTCACGCTGCTAAGCTTCCAAATTCTTTAGACATGAGGCTCTCTGGAGCCTTAGACAGGCTCTCCAGTCTTCTTAACTGTAAGGGGTTGATGATAAAAACCTGGGAACTCCCTGCTGGAAGGGCCTGCATTTTATCACTGAACTCTAACTGCCAGTTCCAATCTTCGATTTGGGGCCCTACCACATAGGTGAATGGAGAGATTCTTTTTATTCACTGTTTTGAAAAGCAGTAGGTAACACGTGACTTAGGAGAGCTGAATTTTCAAACCGGAAAGCTATGCCTAAAAACACAAAGTGAATAAAACAGGGCTCGGGAGCAAGTATAGCTAATCGGCCTGCCTAACTGTAGATACCGATTTTGTAGCTGCCAGAAAAAAGACGCCTTTTTACAGCTGCGTTCCCCAAAAGAGGAATGTGTTGAAAAAGACAGAGGCGCCTAAGATATTAAAAGCTCTCTTTTATTTATCCCGTCATGCATCCTACAGTTCAAAAGCGGTAAGGTAATCAAACCCTCCCCAACGAAAGAAAACAGTAGGGACCCCCGAGGGCTTCCAGGATTTGGAAATCTCCCTTGCTAGGGATGGGTGGGGAATGAGATCCCTGAGGACCACTCGATCGGGACGATCTCCCTGGGCTCCGCTCCCCTTGCAAAGGAAAGGGCTGCCTCTCCGGCTCCTCACCTCGCTCCTTCTTGCCCATCGGGACGCGGTTTGGGCAGAGTGCGCAACGCCGCTTTCACGCCTCCCTTCCGCGTCCCTTCCCATTCGCCCCGCCGCTTCCGGAGCAGGACAGGGAGCGAATCCGGTTCCTCTCCGCCTCCATAACATGGCCGATCTGGGGGGGGGGGACGACAGGAACGGGGGGTTTGCGCGGGAGGGAAAGAGGCGTGCGCCCCCAGGGCTAAAGTTGCCGCGATGGGGCCTCTTTCAGCCTGGAGCCGCTTTCCCAAGTGCCCAGGAAAGAGGCGGATTTGCCGGGGAGCGCAGCAGGGCCGGCCGTTTGGCAGAAAGGAGGTCGCTGACCGTCGGGTGTCGTAGAATCGTACAGTTGGAAAGGTACCCCGAGGGTCATACATGTAGTCCAACCCCCTTGCAATGCAGGAATCTCAGCTGAAGCATCCACGAACAGATGCAGCAAAGAGCAGCCCAGAGGCTTCTGGCACCTCGCAGGCTAACAGATTTATTAGACAGCCTAAGCATCCGTGGGCTAGCCAGTGCCGGATTTACGTGTAAGCTAAACAAGCTATAGCTAGGGGCCCCACTCTCTTGGGGCCCCCCCCAAAAAAAATTAAAGGGAAAAGAACACCTGGATGTACATTTCCAAAATATAAGATAAAAAACAAATAAAATAAAACCTACATACAGCAGCAGTGTTTTGTGTAGTCTCCTATGGTGTAAGTAATGGCCCCGCCTGCTAGTCTGCTCCCTAAAATATCACTGGTTTGCTCATTTCTGTATATAGGGTGCCTACATTCTGTATGTCCAAATGGCTTTAGATACCTTATTAGGTCCATAAATTACCATATAGCATATATTCAACACAAAAAACACGGACAATTTGTAGTTGACAAAGGACAGCTGGACATATAAAGGGCCCCATTACCTTCAGTAGCTTAGGGCCTCATCAAACCTAAATCCGGCCCTGGATAGTCCACTTGATCAGGTACCTTTCATGTGTGTATGGCTCTCATAAAGAAAGGGGCCAGGAAGGAACTAAGTGCAGGGCAATTAGCTGATTGGCAATGGTTGTTCGAGAAACAAACAATAAAACACACCAAATGTGAGTTGTTAAATTCAGGCATGCAGGCACTGAGTGCATGAGCCCTGCTGGATCTAGTGTGGCATCCTGCTCACAATAGCTGCCTGGATGCCTTTGGGAAGTCCGCCAACGGGACCTGCGTAAAACAGCCCTCTCCCCCCGCTTGATTCCCAGCAACTGGCATACAGAGGTTCAACATAAGCCTTCACTTCCACGAGTTTGTCCAATCCTCCTTTAAATCCATCCAAGTTGGTGAACTTGGGTTTCGTACCATCTTTTCCACCCAACACTTCTCAGTTGAGGCGGCTTACATAGTTTAGCTGCAAGACTTCAAAGCAATGTACTCACATGCATGAAGATGCATGTTCAGACCCTATGTAAGCTGCATGGGGGCTGGAGTGTGTGTCCACATTTATAGGCTTGTGCATGTTAATAATATATGGTGGTGCCATTGGCCTGAGCTATTCGACTATAGGTAATAAGTCTAAAACATTGGTTTTATTTGTATTAACATTTGTCTGCTTTGGATTGTTTAACATGTTTTGCCCTGCGTAAGAAGTACACAAAGCGTAATAGATGTTCTGCATCGTTACATTTTTCATGTTTTTGTAAGTAAACCTAGACAAGGAGGATGATTTATTGGTGGTGGCACCCTCCATTTGGAATGCCCTCTCCTGGGTGGCTCAAAAGGTTGAGATAGTAACCAGCTTTAAACAACTGTTACCAAGACATGCTTTACCCAAGCTTTCGCTCATTTCTAATTCTTAAACTTTTTCTTTCTTGTGCACTACTCAAGTTATACCTATGATATAGTTCTACAGTACTCAGTTTTGACTTCTAAAAATTTATTTGATGGTGTTGTATTTTTATATGATTTTATATTCACCTTCCCCCTACTCCCTTAATTATATTGCATGTAAATGTATAGATTTACCGTATTTTTCGCTCTATAACACGCACCAGACCATAACACGCACGTAGTTTTTAGAGGAGGAAAACAAGAAAAAAAAATATTCTAAACGAAATAGTGGATATATGATTTTTGTGGTTCATGCTGTGGCCACAGACATGTGATCTGACAGTGAGTTTGGAGTCCAATGCAAAAATCCTGAGGATCCATGTGGATCCATGCTTTGTAACCACGGAGGAGGGAAGGAAGGGGAACCATGGATCCTCTGCTCAGGACTGCAGCAGATCCCCCCCCCCCGCTACCCGCAGGCATTCGCTCCATAACACGCACAGACATTTCCCCTTACTTTCTAGGAGGAAAAAAGTGAGTGTTATGGTGCAAAAAACACGGTATTTTTATATTGAGAGGTATACCAATTTTACCAATCAATAATCAGTTAGGTGGCTGTTTTAGTACTATGAACACTGGGGTGGGGAAAGCAATATAGAAATTATATATGAACACCCAACACTACCTGCAAGTTGTATAGTGCTGCATAGTAGATACAATAATGAAGCTACTGTACTAAACACATTAAGGAGTAAGCCCCAGAGAACACAGAGTGGTTTACTTCTAGGTAAAGCATGCACTGGATTTCACCAACCTACTCTGCAGTGTTGTAATAATTATTGAAATGCTGTACATGAAACCCTGTCAGTACGTTAAGGATAATTTCCAACTATGTCATAGCTCAATTGAAATCTGAAATCAACTGAAACTGAATTGTCCATTTAATTCCACTGGGTCTACTCCAAGCATGACTTGTTGGGTATCACTCCGAAGCATTATGTAAATACCAAGTATTAATGCACTTAGAAAAGACAAAAAACAAAGTGGAAATAAATATTTGTTTTATTAACACTTAGAAGTGCCATTCTCTATAGTCATTCCATAAGCTCATAAGGTTACATCCAGTAAACCTTTGCACCATAACCTTTCCAGAATTAACTTGGAAGAAAAAAAACAACCTCCAATCTTTCATCGTATTAATTCTTGCAGGTCCTCATGCACAATCATCCTACACGAAGATGTGTACCACCAATATACAAATTTCATAAAACAGAAGTAATTTGGTCAAACACAGAATATAAACATGGCTTCTTTTTATAATCGATAAAAAACCCAAATAAAATAAAAGCCATTTACCAGCAAAAAAATGACAGGTAAATACATAGTTGTTGTTGTTGTTTTAAAAAAATCAAAATGCTTTTATACATTTTGTACAAGCACACTTTTGAGACTATGACAAGGTCAAAATGTGCATGAACAATGGAACATACCACACCATACCAGGCTATTAGTAGGCTCTTTTAAAAAAGAAAGAGAGAATACCACTTTTCCTAACTGTTGGTTTTTGATATCCACCAGTGTGCTATTTACCCAACATGAGAATTTTTTTGTTGGCAAGTCTTAAGAATCATACAAATAATCTTTCAAGCCATGAACTAGGCTGGCAAATTTATGTATTACTCGGTATTCTGCTAGTACCTTCAACATGCTTTATTTTTCCCCAGTACCAGAAAATAAGGAAAGCGTTAAGATCAAGAGGGAAACATTACATTCAATGTAACAAAAAAGAACAGGTAATAAAAACATCTGACTTTTCTAAGATTGGTTTTGTGTCTCAATTTTCTCAAGCAGCTCTAAATTGAAAGATTGCCTTCAGCTTTTCAGAACAGTACTATTATTCTCTGTATCACAGAAACATTTTTAGCTCTTAAAAAAGAGAGAGAGAGAAACCTTACAAGACAAACCATACCATTATCCAGCCAGAGTGTTTTAATATACAATTCATGTCTAATTTTGGAAATACAAATACATTTTGAATGGTTAAAAACAAAAAATAAAATATTTTCTGAACATCAGCCAGCTGAAAATATATTTATCTAGTAAATTATCTCTCAAAGCTTTTATATATTCATCTAACTAAATGCAGTACCTTTAAAAAACAATTTTTTAAAAAACATGTAGAAATGAAACTGGAATAGGTCTGTGGGAAACAGGACAGACAGTACATAGAAGGAATTTTATGTACCCTATATTTGGAAAGTTCTTAGACACATTTACCACAATCCAAACTCCGCAGAGGATCTGACACATATTTGAAGCTCTATTAAGCAGTGGCTTCCCTGTTCCTGTTCACGCCATGCTTCTGAGAAGCTGGGTGTGTGCACTCTGCACATCAGTGAAAAAGCATTTGGAATCTGGCTAGCCTTCCAGCAAAAAATGGGCAAGCAATCAGAAATGCACTAGCTACAAAACAGAACCAAGTTAACTGTTACATTGAATTCATGATGTTGGATGGTGGTCAACTTGACCATATTTGACTAGTCAACTGGCAGGTGCCCCAAATAGCATGGAGTGAACTGGGAAGTCCCTATTCACACAGAGTTCAGTATCTGTGTCAAAGCTCTGCAGGTACAACCAAGTTGCTGGATTTGGACTATTGTGGGGGAACTAGTAAGCAAAGCTAATGTCCTGAGTTCCTCAACCAAGGTAAAGCCAGAAGTGGACACGCATTTATACGGAATCTAAAAATCCTCATTCAAAACAGTAGTACATTGCACACATACATAATCCGCATACACTCCATAACAGTTGGTCAGAGTATTAAAACAGTGTACAAATTAAACAATTTCAAAAAATGTGCAAAAAAGTTAACATTGATAGAAAAAAACACCGTTGTGTACATACGTTACAAACTGTGCCCAGCATTCAAACAGAGAGTAAAAACATTTACAGAGAAACCAAGGGATTAAATAGAGAATTTGACAGCTGCATAAAAAAATGTACATTAGATCCAAAGGGTAGATATACATCATCATCATCATTATTATTAGCTTTTTTAAAAGCAAAAGTCTGCTTTAACCAACATCTCTTCCCCATAACTTACAGTGACATTTTCTTAAGAAAATGGTGCAAGGTACAGATGGCAGGCTGAGCACGTTTGGGTTGCAATTAATCAAGTTTCCACTTTTGGACAAACATTATCAAGCTTTAAAATTGTGATACTAACAAATAGCAAGCCACGTGAAATTTAGACAGATTACATACCCTGTTCCAAAAAGAAAGCACAAACCTTTTATTTTAGGTCAT